TGACTCAGTAAAGATTACACAACCTTCCTCAGTGTATCTGCTCCCTGTGTATATTCAGTCATACCTTCTGACTTAAGTTATGTGAACTGTGTTCATAGGTGCTGGAACTAAGCACCCCCTGGCTTGAAGAGGTTTCCATTATAGACAGGATTTACAGTTTGGTTCAGTGGCTCTCAGCACCCGCACTATAAAAACTGTTTCAGCACCACTGACTGTGTTTTGCTCATTTTATCGCTGCAGAGTAAAAATGCTGAGACAGTGAGAACTGGAGTCTGTTCTTCTTGTGCATTACCCATAAGAGCAGTCTTCCAAGTTCTAATCACTTACCCTTATACCATCCCTTGGGAGGCAATGGCATTTTACAGGTATCAGAGGACATCATGCGGAGATAACAGGGCTGCACATTAGTGGGCAAGCTGTGGGCCTAATCTGGCCTATACACCATGTATTACTGGGAATGCTGAAAAAGAAAAAAAAAGGAAATAGCACTACCATCAATGGGATTATACAGGTGCAGCTCAACGGAACTCAGTAATAATGCACTAAATGGAACAGGAAATCCAGTTCACTCAATCTAGTTGCATTGATTCTACAGGTCTAAGAGGAGTAAAACAGTAAAAATGTGTTTTTGACACTGAAATCTGTGTAGTCAAAGTAATATCTGCTAAAAGAACAGATCTGTTGGGTAAAGAGCCACCATTTTTACATAATCACTTTTCTGAGTAAAACTGCATTTTAAAGATGACTTTTACTAGGCACAGATTGTGTGGGCATGTAACAATTTTGAGTGCATTAAGACAACTTAAAATAGAGTTTCATTATGTGTACAAAAATATGAATAGCTGCTGTGTATGCACAGTTTATCTTAGACAAAACAATTTTTTAAAAATCTTAAATAACAGAAATTCTCTTTCTGAACTGCTTACTCAAATTTGACTTTTTTGTCATGCTGCTTTTGAGTTATACATTCTCCATTTGATCCACAGCTATAACTCTCATAGATAAGATAGCACCATTTATTCCTAAATATCAGTCTCGCAGTGCCCAAACTTTGCTGCATGAATGGCCACTTTGGCAGCTTACCATAACACATTCCACTTTGTATTATTAAATTACGCCATTTAAAAAAATAAATTAAAAATACATCTATATTTGCTTGCACTCATATAGATCGCTCGAAAGAGGAACAAAGATTCCCTTTACTTTGAGTCCACTAGCAGTAAAAACCTATTGCTGATTAACTTTGTCTTCACTGTACGATTACAGGGCAGTTACTGATCCTGTTGACAAATACATTTCTAATGCACCCTATCAACACAGTTTGTAGGGCTGATGATAAAACTATGGGTCAAAATAAATTCTGCTCAAAATAGGACTTAAACTCCTTGCCCTATAGTAGATTATCCAGGAGAACATCGTAGGGTCCTTCTGCTACTCAAGGGGTGTCCAAACTGTGGCTCTGTTACCATTAAAGTGTGGCATGCGGAGCCCCCCATGTCCCTCCCATTCTCCACCTACCAGACTGGGAGGCAGCTCAGGATCTCTGCCTTGGTGGTGTGATAGAGACTTCTGCCCAGTGGGAAGTGGGGTCTTGGGGCTTCTGCCCTGCATGGAGGAATGTCTTGGGGCTTCTGCCCAGTGGGGATGGGGATCTTGGGGCTTTAGCAGAAGCAGGGCTGAAGCCCTCCAACCTCCGGCTCCTGGCAGGTGTTCCCCAGCTCTTGAACTTCTGAAGATTGTTGTATGTGGCTCGGAGGTCCAGTAAGTTTGGCAACTCCTATGCTACTCAATTAGTGCAACAGACCAAGTAAAGAAATGGATCTAGGTTTCATCCTCACCTAAGAGGAGAGTTCAGCAGCCAGGGCTTTTCACAAGAATGTCCTGCCCCTGCCCTCAGACAGTATGTCTACACTGCAACGTAAGCCCAGGGTTAGTGAGACTCGAGGCAGCTGACCCATGTTGGAGAACCTGGGGCACTGATGGTTAACCCTACATTAAGAATTTTCTAACCCAGACTCAAACCTGTGGCTCTGTCATCCACATCACAACAGCACGCAGACCCGAGCCAAACCAAACATATCTCGGACACCCTAGCCCCCACCTGAAATGTGGCCGCTGTAGCCCTTTGATTGTGGTGCACCGTGAAAAAACTTTACTCCCTGTGATGGGTTGGGTCACAGAAACCCCCTTGGGACTGCCACCTGATGTGCTGAGACGACCTCTGAGCCTGTTTTCCCTGGCAGCTTCGGACTTCAGTTCCTTGCCTGGTTGTGCCAGACACACTAGCCTGCTGCAAACACAGACCCAGGTCTGAATTACGTCCCCCAAAAGCTGAAGACTTAACTGAAAACAGCTTGAGAAGTGCTCCTGTCTCCAGCACCCAGATACCCAGTTCCCAAAGGGATCCAAACTCCAAATACATCCATTTTCCTCGGTATAAGGCTTATACAGGGTAAACTCATAAATTGTCCACCCTCTATAACACTGATAGAGAGATACACACAGCTGTTTGCTCCCCCAGGAATTACTTGCCTACTCTGGGTCAATTAATAAGCAAAAAGTGATTTTATTAAGTATAAAAAGTAGGATTTAAGTGCTTTCAAGTAATAACAGACAGAACAAAGTAAATTACCAAGCAAAATAAAACAAAAATACGCAAGTCTAAGCCGAATACAGTAGGAGACTAAATGCAGGTAAATCTCACCCTCAAAAATGTTCCAATAAGCTTCTTTGACTGTCTAGACACGTTCCTAGTCTGGGTCCAGCGATCACTCACACCCCCATAGTTACTGTCCTTTGTTCCAGTTTCTTTCAGGCATCTCTTTGGGGTGGAGAGGCTATCTTTTGAGCCACCTGAAGACCAAATGGAGGGGTTTCCAGGGCCTCTTATATTCTCTCTCTTGTGGGCGGAAACCCCTTTGTTCTCCGGTGCAAAATCACAACAACAAGATGGAGTCTGTAGCCACCTGAGCAAGTCCCGTGTCGATGGATGATTCAGCTTTTTGCAGGCCGATGCCATTGTTTACATGTTAGTTTGAATGTTCCCAGGAAAGCTCAGATGTGGATTGGCGTATCTCAAAGTCCATTGTCAATTAAGTGTTTCTTGATTGGGCACTTACCAAGTATAGTCCTTTCTCAAGAAGCTGACCAAATGCTTTACTGAGGCTATTTAGAATCAAACAAGTACATAGCCAATATTCATAACTTCAAATACAAAAATGATACACACATACAGACAGCATAATCATAACCAGCAAACTACAACCTTTCCATAGACACCCCACTTGGCCTCCTCTGTACAAGACCTGGTGCAACCGTAGGACCCTTGTTGCCACAATGATCTATACGGTCACAGTTCCTGTCAATAACATCACACTGCACATGACAGGAAGTTTGAACAGCCTGCTGAGCAACATGGTGAAGGCAGGCTTTTTCAAGGATTTCTCTTGCTTGCGCTTTCACTCCTTTGTCCGGAAACGGGCAGAACTTCCATGGGGTGTTGGTGGACATTTCAGCAGCCTTTTCTGGCCCACCACACACACCTGACAGAGCTTATGATGGAACAAGAGGATTACCACCACCACCACTACCCAGGCATGCTGACTCACGCTGGCTGATGAAATCATTACTCCAGTATAGCTGCGGATGCTCCCTACGTAGACTGGTGCTTCTGGTGCAGGGTCGCAAGCACAGACGGGTGGGATCATATGGCCATGCAGACCAGGGATGACCAGCAGTGGGTCCAGAACTTAAGCATGAAGAAAGCTACATCTCTGGAGCTTTATGAGCAGCTTGCCCTGACCCTCCAGCATAAAGACACATGCATGAGGCCACCTTTGCTGGTCCAGAAGGGGGTTGCTATAGCTGTCTGGAAGTTGGCTACCCTAGACTGCTACAGGTCCAGTGCCACCAGTTTGCTGTAGGAAAGTCAACTGTGGATAAAGTGGTTGCAGAGATTTCTGAGGCAGATGTTTACCCCAAGGGGGCAGACATAAAAGAGTTAACTACTGGAGAATGGGGTTTCCTAACTGCGCCGCGGCCACTGATGGGACTGATGTCCCTATAGTTTGTCCTCCTCAAAGAGCACATAAGTACCTAAACTGCAAAGGGTACTATTCCATTATTATGCAGGCCCTCATAGACCAGAGGTGAGTTTATGAATGTTGACGTGGGCTGCACGGGGAGAGTTCATGATGGTAGGGATTTTCACTGATTGGGAGTCTACATTAATGGACAGGCTGGGAGACTATTCCCACCAAATAACAATGTCACAAATGGAATTACTGTCAACACAATTATTCAGGGGATCCTGCACACTCCCTTTTGTCTTGGCTTATGAAACCATTCCCTGATGTCAGAGGCCCTGGTAAAAGGTTTAATTACACACTCAGCAGGTGGAAAATAGTTGTTGAATGTACTGTTTCCCAGCGGCCCCCTCTGCTGCTAATTTCCTGTTTTTGCTTGTTGCTCCTCGCTGGGCCCCCCCCCCCCTCAGGGGGGGTTTTCCCCCCCCTTTCCCCCCCCTTTTGTTTTTTGGGGGGTTTTTTTCTCCCTCTTTCCCTTCCTTCCCCCTTTTTTGGGGGGGAGGGGATGAATGACCAACAAAGAAGAAGGGGGGTTGTTTTCCCCCTCCACCCCTTTGTGTCATGTAAAAAATAGGAGAGGGGGGGGGGGAGGAGGGGGGGGGGGGGAGGGGGGGGGTGGGGGTTGGTGTGTTTAAGTGAAGAGAGGGGTTGATTTTATTTTTTTTTTTTTTTTTTTTTTGTGTTTTTTTTTTTTTTTTTTTTTTTTTTTTTTATATGGTGGGGGGAGGGGAGGAAATATTTTTTCCCCCCCCCCCCCGGGGGGGGGGGGGGGGGGGGGGGGGGGGGGGGGGGGGGTGGGGGGGGGGGGGGGGGGGGGGGAACAAAATTACAATAAATTGTCAGAAGATATTCACAATAGCTTTTTCTTTTAAGAATAGAACAAAATAATATTTACAGCTAAAGAGATTCAACACGTAGAACACATTACCTGAACTTTATTAAAATAACTGCCTGTCACATATTTTTTATTCTAAACGACAGCTTCTAGACAAACTTGTTTTAAGTTGAAGTGACAGTTTTACCTGTTTTCATTGGCAAATGCTGCAGTTCGTATTTTACAAGCTAGAAATAAAAATTAAATAGTACAAGTATTGGCAACTTCCATTTTAACAGTGTAACTGTTTGCTCCAACAGTTCAGATCCTCCATAAACAAAAGGTATTCAAGATATACCAGTTGTTCAGCAGAATAAATCTATTCCAGATAGATACTTTGCATGGACATTTAAATGTCAGTGATGATTTTTGTGAAACTGCTACAACCTTTACTAAGTTTCTCAAAGAAGGAAAGTATATGCTGAGTTAGCAGGACCTATATCAGAGATCACTCATCAAGTTTGGGTTCAGAATCATCCAGTCAGAAGTGAGATCAGTTTAGCCACTACATGTACATTGAGACTGTTTCCCAGGAGACGGTAGCGTTGCTTCATTGTTATCTTGTCAGGAAAGCCTAAAACAAAAACAATGTACAATACAAAGTTAGTCTGGTCTGTTCCTGATCTTCCAATCTATTGGAACTTGCACAAACATTTCCTGATGCAGTTACTGAGAGCTGCAATACACGTGTCCCCCACACTGTATCTGAGCCACACCCCACTGGAATAACTGCCACTGAGCTCACTGGATTTTGGATCAAGCCGACGGAGAGCAACACACACATTGTTAAGATTTTACTAACGGCCATGAAGCACAGCTTTCCCTGCAATCTATGCTAATTCAGCTTCACTGGCATAGCACAGATGTGGGGGCAGGAGGGCTAGCAGTCTAGCAGTAGAGCCCTCAAAGATGGCAATTCTGGCTGGAAGGGGGATGTGGTCATAGCAGCCAGAATGTGCTGATTCAGCAAGTTTCCTCGCTGGGGAGAGGCTAAACCAAGGGAGGGATGCCCAGGAGGAGATGGCTGGGAGGCGTTGTTCCAGCTTTCTCTGCCAGCTATTAAGTCCCTGAATGCAAACTACTGTAGTAAAAAGCATCTCCTGCCAGCTCCAGCCATTCTGCCCAGCTCCCTAGCACCTAGACTTGGGCAGCCACTCTCCTCCAAAGGCTCATTTGTGCCTGCATTCCTCCCCTGGGATCTCCATCCACATTCCCCAAGCAATCCACTGTGTTAGACTCAGGATTTACACAGGTTTAAAAAGTATATATAGACACACACATATATATATACACACCCACACACACACACCCCTATAAGCCAGCTAGAACAGTAATGGCTCTTGGGCTGGACAGACCACAATGGACACGTTTTCTCAGACCCTGCTCCCTCACCTGCCCGGATGAATTATCTCAGACTTTGTACTTCCTTGGCCTAAGTCTCGCCAACATCACCAAAGAGAGAGTTGGTGCCTAATACAGTTTGGGGGGGGCTCACTGCACAATTTTGGACCTTGTCTCACATAATTTAGGTCACATTTGCTTTTTAAGGATGCTGCTCTGCTGGTGACACCCGCTGGCAGAGAATGCAGACTCTACTTGCTTTCAGTTTGTTTTCCCACAAAACATTAAGGGCCTGATTTTCATTACACCATGGCCCCTTTACGATGCACTGGCAAAGCTGTAACATTGTAGATGAGAATTATGCCCCAAGCATTGGCTTGTTTTGGGTCATTCTCCTACCTCTCTCTCTCGCTCTCATTCTGTATCAACAACAGGAAAGAACAGGAAAGAGAAAAGCATGAGGTCATCCTCCTGAAAGCAAGTCACAGGTGCCAGAAAGAAGGGGGCAGTTTTGATAACGTTGCTGTGTTAACCTTATGGGACCTATAATATTGACTGCAATAAAACAGTTAGTCTTTTATGGTTCCACATTGTAATTACTTTTGCCAACAGCTGAATGCTAAAAGCACCAGTAAATCTATTTTTAAAGTCAAAGGAGAACATGAATTACGATAATGGACAGCTTTCTGCATCTCACTTGTTGGAAACAACAAAACCAAACCCCTAAATTAGAAGAAACAAAAACTAAGTCAAACGAGTGCCTCTCATCACTGCCTTTTCATGATACAGCAATTTTTCATTCCAAAACGCATTGTTTTTCCCATTTTACATTCACAAGCCTATTTGGCTATACAACACATAGGTTTGATCTTATAAACTGGGAAAAACTGATAGAAGTTTAGAGAAATGGTCCAAATAATAATAATCCATCATTAAAATAAAGTCATATTGTAGTAACTAACACACACAAAAAGTGAAGCATTCTTCTTCAAAATGCCAGCTTGGCAATTCTGGATGTAGTTCTGAAAACTAGACAACAGGGGAAATTCAGAGGCACATACCAAATTCTGGAGGGAATCCATGGAGATTTTCTATTTCTCTAGGAGTAAAATATCTTAGTTTTAGTGTTGACAATTTCATAAGCTTCTCTTCTTCTGATAGCATCTCAATGGATTTAAACACTGATTCTAGCTGTGGGGAAAGTACAAAACAACAGATATGGATGATGGACAACGACTACAAAAAATTACAGCATAACGTATCTTTATGAAATATTTAAGGTGATTGCATTGCTGAAGACAACAGTACGGCTGTGCATTCTGTTTAAAAGTATAGTTTGTGCTATACTTTTGCACTCAACAATGTCTCAACAATTACAATTTACAAGAAAAACCATCACGCTGTCAAGAACGAGTAATCATTTTTTCTGAAGTCTGAGGCTATACAAATATTCAAATATGCAACCATAGGATAATAAACTGCTGTCGAACACTGGAGAAGAAAGATGACTCAATAAGCAGGAACTAACATCCTGTACTAAAATTATGCTATGTATACTTTGTTAAACCTGATAGCTTTGATATTCCTCTATGTTCCAACACTGCATTCCTTGTACACCCAAAAATGCTATTTAAATTCTGGCCAAGGATTAAAAAGTGAAGTCTTTCCATATATGTATGATGGGGTCTGTAAAACAGTAAACAAATTTCTGTGATGTTTCATCAAAAAAAGCCTGCCATTTCATTGTTTTACTTTTCCTGTGCTAAAATATCACTTTTTAATGAATTTCACATTAAAAGTGGACAATTTCAAAATGTTGTGTGTTTCAATGCAAAATAGAATACTTTTGAAATTTAAAAAAATTGAGTTTTAATTGTTTGACATTTTTGCTGTAAAATAGGGTCATGTGTGTGCAAAAACTGGCCCACAAATGGCCCTACAGGCAAAAATCTGTTGTACTGTAAATTATCCACAGGCCCAGCCCATATCAAGGTTTTCAGGTTTCATTGTGAATATTACATATAGCAATAGGCATGACAAAAAATAGTCGCATACCCACAATCTTCCCACAGAACCATGACTTTAATATACTCCATCTGGGTACTCAGAGTAAATTAATTGGAAATACTGGAAGATCCGGAGAGATAGTTGGTCTGTGCTGTAAGATTTAGTCCTGAAGACATTTTTGGTTATAATAAATCCAGAATAGTTAAGCCAAAGTAGTAAGACAAAAAAATAATAAATCATTCTGATATGATTTACAATACATCCTGTACCTGCACATCCTCTGCTGTCTGCAGCACTGAGCCCGTTCCTTCTACATAGTGACCATACCTTAAAAACAACATAAAAAATCACACATGAAAAGTTCTATTAGGCTTTACAATATTGATGAGTGAAGAAAAGCATGGAGGTTAATTTGCTGGCACTAACAAATAGTCTTCTGGAAAGGTTACACAAAGGCCTTCTTATTAACACAACTAACCCTGGGACTACAAAACCAGCCTCTGAAAATAATCTTTGGGGATTATTCTCCCATCAGTGCTCAGGAGATTTATCCCTGGTAACAATCTATAGAGCAACCAGTCAAGGATTTCAGGCATAATATCTTCAGAAATGGCCACCTAAGTTTCATACACAAATTATGCATTTGTAAGTGCAAATGGGCTTTTGGGTACACAACTCGGGAACTTCTCCAATTTAGCATCTATTTAGATTTGCATGCAAAATGAAAATGGCCACTTTTGAAAATTTGGTTCTTTGTACTCAAAAGGAGGAGAGGACCATTAGCGAGAGCCTAAAATTTTAATTTTCACTCATGAAGAGCAGAGAAATTCAGTCAGATTTTGGCATTAGCTGAACATATTTTTACTTGCTTTCTTGTTTACAGCAGTCAAAAAATATCCAGCATATAATAGTAAAAGTTGACATTATAAGCTATATTTTGGCTCTTTTGGAGGGTTTGGGGTTTATACTGTAAATACATGTTTACTCAACAGTCTCTCACAGACTATCATTTAAATATAATTATAGGGTTGCCAGACTGTCAGAGAAATACACTGCTTGCATGATAACTATTGTGCAAGGAAGTCCTGAATAGACAGGGATTTAGAAAGCAAAATAAATGGGCTTTGCACAGTGAACATCTAAGGAACAGCCAGCCATCTGCATCACGCCTCTGGATGCACTTATTCCACACAACCACTAGCCATGCCCTCACCTTATGCTACTCGCCACACTGCTCCTCACCATTGTCTAGACCGCTTTTATGGAGTCCTCTGCACAGCTTCTTGGGAGCTTAACTCACCCCTTCCAGATACACTGATAAACTATGGTGGCTGCCTTTTGTTTTGGGCTTTACATACCCCACAAAGGGAAAAAGCGGTGGGAAAAGTCCTTCCCTGCCCCCCACAGGTGCAATAGTCTGTTTAGAGCTCAATCCTGCATGAAGCTGAGCACTCCTGCACTGATCCAGGAAAGAACTTCAGTGGCCCTACTGAAGTCAACAGGACTACTCATGTGATTAAAATTAAGCTCGTATGTAAATGCTGTGCTGGATCAGGGCCCCAAACACAGTTATGGATTATGATGTAAGCAATTAAAACCATCTTCTAAATACATGGTCTTCAATTGATTAATTTTTTAAACATACATTTTTAACAAATATTTGTTTTCACAAGGTAACCCATATGAGAGGAATTCTAATGTATTATATATACACAAAGTACCTGCATTTATAAATAATAATAATAAAAAACTTTGGCGGCAAAACAACTAAAATAATTGCAAGTAGTTCCTAAACTGGTACTTCAAATCTGCCTTATTCTGGCAGGTGATCTTTTTCATACATCCATATTATTATAAAAAAGATGCTAAATGATTCTAAATGATTTACGCTGAAGGAACTGTGGAAAACATGGTAGCATGATATATACTATGTATGGTGGAACTGCCCAAAAATTACAATATTTTGGTTTCTGTAGAGAGATAATGTAATATAATTCTAAGCGAATACTCTGAAAGGTCGCCGGCTCTTTACAACTGAATAATAGTTTTTATAAATTTGGGAAGAATTACATCTTTTCTTATTAGCTGTTCATATTTCTTTTTATTGTTGCTGACTAGAGATAACTCAACAACCCTAACCTAGACTGAGTACTTAATGAAATTTGGGAAATTTTGGCATAAGAAAAAAAGAACATTAGTACTTGGGCAGTTGGTTACTTTTCAGTACTTATATGGAAAGCAGACGCTGGATTAGAAAACCATGTTCTACCTTTTTACTTTACTGAAGTTTTATTATTTTGTTGTTCTTCTCTTTATGTATGTAAACTACTTAAAATGTCTTAGTCTGACTCAGGCAACCTAGTCTCTGTCTGGGTATAGTGTATTCCCTTGTGACTCTAATAAAAAAATCAGTTTTCTCTACATTATATAGAGCTCTCAGTAACTTGCTTTACATGAGTTTTCAGGTGATTGATTCTTTTGGCAATAGCATATCCTTGTCAAGGCTACATGGATTTATAAAGGGATCCATCAGAGCAGTCTCTGAAAGAGGGTTTAACTTGCTCTGTCATTCAAAATGTCCCATACCTCCCTCTCATTGCCTGCACCACAGCCTACAGTGCTGTAAAATGCTTTGTACTTGTACACTCAGTCAACAAGATCAACATGTTCTTCCCCCATCCTCAATCCAGTTCAACAGCGAGGGGTGATCGAGTGCTGTGGTTATTCCCAAAACCAGCTGTCCCACAACTACATTAAAGCACTTCAGCGAGCCAGACATTTTTCCTATTTTGGGCCGTTCTGTAACATAAAAGTATATTTTAAAACCAAAACATAATGAGCCAAATTCATCCTTGCTACTGCAGTGAAATGTCTGGAGTTACACCAGGAATCAGTTTGGCCCAGGGTTTTTAACTAAGTGTGCTAGTTATGGGCCCAGTCTGGTGAGATGCTGAGTGTCTCCAGTATTCCCCTCAACTTGTATTGGTGCTGATGTCAGTCAGGGCTGGAAGAAAAATGATCTTCCCATCCTGTAAAAATTGTCAAGGTTTCAAAAAAGTTTCCTGCCCTGAACAAAAAAGAGTCAATCTTAAAAAATGTTCACAAACTGAAAGTCTGGGGGGAAAAAGTGGTTTGGGTGAACTGAAACATTTTGTTTGGATAAAATGAAATATTTTGAAATTGATTGACCATTTTTTATTTGTAAAATGTTTTTGCTCTATAAATTAGCTTATGGAAACATTGTGTTGAACTAGAGAACCAGACATGTTTACTTTAGAAGTCAAAATATTGTTGACAATTTCAAAACTTAAAAATATCTGAGTCACTAAATTACTTAAAAACTGACCCGTTTCCTGTGAAAAGTTTTGGTTTCAATGAATCAAGTGTTTTCTGACCAAAAAACAAAACAAAAAACTTTTCATCAAATAATTCCCAACTAGCTCTAATGTCAATGGGAATTGAGAACACTCAGCACTGATTGTGCCTTAGAAATGCAGAGTACAAATTAGGAAGCTACTAGACCAGTGAGCAACAGATATTAAACTGAATGAGCTGTCATTTGTGCATTTCTTCATTAAAAATGAAACTAATCGTTGTAAATATGGCCAGATCCTTAAGTGATGTGAATGGACATAACTCCATTGCCTTCAGTGGAGCTACAGCTGAGGTTTTTGCCCCACAGTTTACAACATCAATTAAATATACATTAGCGACAGTTTTAATGAGGAAAGGAGCTGTTACTGAAGTTACAAAGCATTATGTGTAAGTAATATAAAGAAATTAATTAGTGCATTAGCTTTCCACCAATCTACTGGAACAATGTTTCCGCCAGGGGTAATTAAGCTTCTCGGAAGGTCACCAAACAAATGGCACGGTCTTTGTGAGTGCTTTTGTGTGTAGGGCACACGATGTTCTGCCAGAGCGATTCTCATGCTCATATTCTGTTGAATCAGGAAGCATGCAATAACGAGAAATGTGTTACAGTAATGTCTTGCTTTTTGATGGAACACTGCTTTTGGTTTTTCAGATGACTGCAAAGAAATGTTTGCATTTAACATGTCTGGATAAGGTCCCCCAGAGGACTCTCCTGGACACTTACCCTTTTGTGAAGCAAGTGGATCTCCTGCAGCTGGGTGTCACAATGTCTAACAGGAAAGCATAGCGCAGTAAGGCCTTTGGTGGCAAGAAGTACTGACTCATTTCTTCTCCATCCTCTTCAAGGAAGTCTTTTAGCATTTGAATAGAGAGATCACTGTCCTGGTTCCGCTTTCTTTCCATTTCTTTCGCTGTTTCAAGTTTAAAAACGAACGCTTCCTTCTGCGAACACTGTCCGCTGCCAGCATCAGAACCAGAGTTTGGCTCAATGTGCTCCTCTTCGGGTGACGTGAAGGAGCTCTCTTTTTCCAAGCCTGCAGCAACTCTGTGCTTCACTGAAGCTTTTGGCTCCTGATCTGGGAAATTTTCCAATATCTAGCATGGAACAAAATAGTCAAATGATTAAAATACTGTACTTAGTACTGTAATAGGTAACTGCTCAGAGAAGTCCATGTAGCAATGTCTGGGAAGTCATACAGAGCTGTCCAGTATAAAATAAGACTGATTCTCTGGCATTATGAAGCGCTAACTTGTACATGCTTTGTAGATGTACGCAGCCAGTTTAAGGAATATGGATCTTGACGTTTCACTTCCATAAAACAGGGGAAGAAAGGATTGTGCGAAACTATAATAAAGAAAGCTAGGACCAGGTGAAAGTTGCTTGGTTAGAGGCTTGGCTAGTAACCTGAGACTCAGACCAGATTTGCTGAAATGTTTGTGAACCTCTGGTGAGTTTCACACCCCCTCCCACACATGCCTATGTCCGTCTCAATAGGCTTGGAATTCACCATTACCTTTCTATGTCGTCTGGGCATCTTCTTCACTCTTTTCTGGGAACTTGAGGCTTTGTGGGCCACTCCCTCCTCTATGGAGATCTTCAAGGGGCACAGGGTGGTCCCCCATTTTCTATCTCTAGGGGTCCTAGAGGACATTGCTGCATCCTGCACCCTTCCAAGAAAAGGTTCCAGAGTGCCCAGCACCTTGGTCTCTTCTGAGTCAGCAAAATTGTTCCTAGGAACTACTTTAAGCTATCTAAGCCAGTGGGAGCCATTTCAGTCCCCAGCGAGGCCAGAATCAGGAAAAAAGGAAAGGTGGCTTACAGCCATTTTACTTGTGCACACACTCTGCACCTGAGCATAAGCTTCGCACAGATGAAGATCTAGCCCTCAGTCTCCTTGAAACAAAGAGTAGTCAAGGAATAGCAATGAATCTCACCTGACCAGGAGCTTGAAAGGAAAGTAACTCTGACTGAAGCTTTGCAATCAGAAAATATCGCAGCCTGGAATTGGGAATGCCAAGCTGTAAGCAAAACCCCACAAAAACAATCAGTCCACATGGTACAGAGAATCAAAGCAATCTGCATGGTCACAAAAGGAGCAAGTTACCACTTTTTGTATTAATATAATATTTAGCACTTAAAATGTTTACCATTTCAAAGCTGTTAACATTAACCAACATTACCCTAGACTAATGCGATTTTCAACTGGCCTAAAATTGTGTCTTAAAATGTGCCCATGAAGAAATCTCTACATCATTAGTTTGTAGTTAAGGATCTGCAGTATAGGCAATTTTCATACACTGTACAACTCAGATCTTTCCATCCATTTGCAGTATGGTGCGTGCCCACAGATTTATTGTGCCTCTTATCACACCTTCCCTACCTAATCTTTCTCAAGCAAGAGAAATATTTGATTTTTCTCAGGTTTCTGACTGTTATCTGCAAATCAATAGAAAAGTTAAACTTTGTATGTAAGGTGGGAAGTCAGAGAAAAACTGAAATGTCTTTAACTACAATTTTTAGGGCAAACATAGTGCCCATTACCTGTCACAGTGAAGAAGCAAGAGGAGATGTTCAATCACATGAACAAGAAAATGAGATAAGACATGTCACAATGAAGGATGACCCTGGATCGCAAAGATACAGAGATTTACATGTAACACAGTAATGGCCTGATCCTGTCTTGGACAAGCAAAACTAATTTAATTAGTGATTTAAACAGTACCCATTGGATGTTCAAGCAGTGATAAGCAGAACAAATACGTAAATATCCTAACCTAACCCAAAGCTAAGTCAGATGGCACCACCAGTCCAAAGAAATGTCCACAAAATTGGACATCACCCTTTCTTCCAGCATGTGAAATTCTTTCCAAATATCCCATTTATTCTTTGGTACAGTTGGATGAGTTATAATAATCTTACTACTCACGTATGTTGGAGACAAGAGAAATTCTTGGTATTTAAATCCACACTTCTTTAGTGTTTCTACAAGTTTGTCTCTGATAATGAAAAAATAAATAAAGCCAATTACTGCTCATATGCAGTTAGACACAGAGTGCAATATACTCTCTGTTCACATCTTTTCTTTTCTTAAATAAAGATCCATTAAATGCAATACTGTAGTCACTAGGACAGTCAGCAGGCACACTAGAATACTCAAACACAGCTTTGTAGACATCCAATATGGTCATACATTTACGTTCTAGGAAAGAACGCAAAGTATAGCATTGCACTAGCCAAGCAAGGAGCAATTATAAAAGACTTTCATGGAAACACCACAACTACTTTGTAGCAAACATCCTCAGAAGAAAGTATCTGGTCTCTCAAAAGTACTTACAACGTGTTGTCCAAACAGTAGGAGACAGTCTCATTAGATGTGGTTTGCAAAATTATTTACAAGCACTGGATCAGAAGTAGGATATTAAAACTCCTACTTAACAATTCTTGAGTTGACACCTCAGTATCTCCCTATGTTTACGTCTGAGCTTGTTTATTTAAGTACTATAAAGGAAAGACTGTTTGAAGTAAGGGATTCACAACAATTGGTTGCTTAGCACAGGGGATTTCTAATAAAAGTCTACTCCACATATTTGGAGGAGACTATTAAAATGGAAGGATGTTTACTAAGGATAGTGTCTGATATAAGGTATACTATACTCTGCAGCCTAACAGCAGGCTGGATCCACATTGAAAGTAAGGACTATGAGCTAAATCCTGGCCTGGCAGGGACCACATGGAAAAAGAGGAATGTTCTCTGGTGTGTTTTCTGACATACAGATCATTGCATTTATAGGACAGGATCCCACAAGGTAGGCCAGGGACATGCACGGGCCAGTTTACAGCTCTTGCAAGCAGAAGGGCACCTAGAAGCCAACAGGGAGCTGGAAATGCCCCCTAATTGGCAAACAGTGTTCATGAAGGCATGTGGTGATGTGCAGGCTGGCATATAAGGCAGCTTCCTCTCTCTCCTACTGCTTTTATCTATGGAAAGATCCTGACCTATTGTTTGCATGGGGGGAGGAGAGATTAGGCAAAAGAGGATCCCTACAGCCTCTCCCCACCTGGCACAGCAGTGGATAGGATTTAGTTTTCCATTTTTGGGTTAAGCCCCAGTCTCTACCTCCCAATTACTAAGGCTATGGCTATACTAGAAAGCTTACAGCGGTGCAGCTGCACTGCTGTCAGCTCTCTGTGTAGTAATTAAGCCCATGGGAGAGCTCTCTGTGTAGTCACTCTATGCTGACAGAAGAGAGCTCTCCCATTGGCTTAATTACTGCAGCCCCCACGAGTGGTGGTAGCTATGTCGGCAGGAGAACCTCTCCCGCTGACATAGTGCTGTCCACACCAGCACTTAAATTGGCATAAATTATGTTGCTCAGGGGGTGCCTAATTCACACCCCGAGTGACATAACTTATGTTGACTTAAGCTGTAGTGTAGCCGTAGCCTAAATTTCAAAATGTAAGTCGAATTACGATTTCCAAAACTTTTCCAGGTTAGAAGCCTACTATTTGCCTGTGCAGTTTGCTGATGAGGTCACACCAAATTCTCAGTGCCAGCAGTCAGTCAAGCAGGGTACGAATACAAGGTTTTCAGCTAACCCTTGCCCCTCTACTATGACCACTAGAAAGGAACCACAGTAAAAGCTGTGAGAGCTACACCCACGCCCTGTGTTGTTCGATAATATTGTTCTTTGAAAATATAGATCTCTCCTGAATGAAGCAAGATGACAAAACAGGCAATGAAGATGCACATCATCTTCTACCAGCTAGCAACATATTTTAAATTATGTTATCAGTTTGGAGAAATCAATAACTTTTCAATAAAGTCCCCCATGCCCTAAAAATTTAATTGTAAAATTAAAATAGTATTTTTAACCTGAAACTGATAAATGCACTATTTCACTCCACTCCTCTTTTAATCTAACTTCCAAAAAAATAAAATTACCTGCCCCTCCCCTTTACCTAATACTGTTCCTAATTAAAAATGATCATACCAGACCTGGCAGAAGACGTTTCAAATCCTTTCACATTTTCTAAAAGTATATATTTTGGCAGCCTCTGGAGCCTAAAAGAAAAGTCAATGTAGTTTAGTAAGATGTAAACCATATTACATCAACAGCACAGATTTGTTTAGTAACAAGAAAGATTTAGGTGAAAGTTGCCAAATTTAGGCTAAAAATGGTCTAATTTTCAGAGATGCTGAGCACATGTAATTCACAATGAAGTTAATAAGAATTGCAGAGCCTCGGCGCTTCTGAAAATCAGGCCACATTTGCTTAGGTGCTAGGTAAGGATTTAGGTGCCTACCATTGAAAACACTGACCTTTATTCATTTATCAAAGCATCATTCTCATTCATAAGTCTATAAGTTAGTGGTCTGGATGGTACATGATGAGAAGAAAAAAAAAAAACCCTCTCATCCAGTGTGTGGAAAACTTGTAACAAAATGGGCCTGATCCTGCTCCCACCCAGGTGAGTGTCAGAACTCGCGTTAATTTTAGTGAAAGCAGGATTAGACCCAGTGTTTCGTTTGAGCAGACACTGTTTTCAGAGCGTTTCGCGTTCAGACATTTTCTGTTGTGTCTAATTAGCTTTTGTGGAAATTCACTTTAAATATGGGGCTAGTCTGAAGACCTGTGGCATCAGTGCTAGGCAGGAGCTCAGAGTCTGGAACCAAGCTCATTGCATAGGCAGTAGGCTTAGTCTCTGGAGGAGGGAGCTCCTCATTTTGTTCTGGAGCATTCTTCTTTGGCTGATTCATGAGTCACACATATGAGCTCCACAGAGCTTCCGCCAGTTTCAAACATTTCAAACATGATTGGGAAGGTTAAAAACGGAGCCCCAACACACAAAACAACTGCATCATGATATACTCCTAAACTCTGATAGCAAATACAATAATGATAAAGGAGGTGTGACACCTTCTTCAGGTGCCCAGGACTCGAGTCACCTTGTTACCCTCCTGCCTCAGCAAGAGAGCAACTTGCTGATGCTTAACTGGATGTCAGCTCCCTGAAACCACCAGTCTGATGGCTACCTAAGCAACCTCCTCCCAGGCCTTACTTTGCCTTGCAGGTTAACAAAAGGTACACCCCAGCCCACAAGCCCTTCTGAAAGCATCCCCCTGTAGTATTCAGCCCATCACTGGCCACTCATAGAAATGATCAGGTTTGTGAACCCCAAGGGAACAGAATGCACCAGCTTGACTGGTATAACTCAGGATCAGGTCTTTTGTAACACCCCAGCACTGAGATACAGTTATAGTAAAAATACTCATAAGTTTTTCATCAAAGATAAAGATTTAAGAGATACAGAGTCAGGATAATGGAAACAGAAATGGTTACATATAAAACAAAAAGTATAAACCCTTTCTTAGAGTCTAAACTTTAAACAGGCTAAAACCCTTGTCTAAAGTTGCTTCAGGTGAGAAACTATCTCCCAGCGTCTCCATCCTTCATGAATGTAAAAGGAGCCAGAACATCTACACTGCAATTTTATAGCCCCTCAGCCTGAGCCAGCTAACTCGGGCTAACTTGCTATGGGTCTTTTATTACAGTGGAGACATGCCCTCTGTGTCCAGACTCCACCTCCACCGGCTGAAGACTCCTGGGCCTCCTCAGATCCAGAATATCTCCAAGTTGTCCCTTTCCATGCCTTCATACGTTAACCACCCCCAGTGTCCCCGCCAGCCCCACTTCACCAGTATTCCTCTATAAAAGACTGGAAAAAAGGTAAAAAACAGGAAAGGAAGTTGCAATTACTTTATAATACCGTGCATGAAATTTGTGCAGGATATTACAATTACGGATACAAAACAGGAACTCCTACAGTTTACACACTCCAAACTTTACTGAACGTTTTCCCATTTGGGCTAGAATTTTTCATGTCTGGTCTCTGGCAAAGAGGTCATTTCCAAAAACCACATGCACACTATCTCAGCAAAACATGCTCCCCTGGAGCTGGAGGACTCTGCAGCCATGGCTACCCCAGCCTTTTTGTGATCTCTCCGCAGCCATTCCAGCTTCCCTTTGAAACTCTGCCCAAGAGAGATTAGCAGCATCTTTTGGGACACAGAGATAAATTCTCCCAGCCAAGCCCAACTCCTTTGCCCTGTCATGATAAGGGTCACATGTACCACAGTCTTATGTCTTTTAGCTGAGAAAAAGAAAGTTTCTATCTTCTCAGTCTAACCACGCAGCAATCAGAATGCGCCATTTCCACTTTGAAAGCAAAAAATTGTCTCCAAAGAAGAGCTGCCCCCTTTCAGTTTCCTCAGCTGTAAAATAGAGACAATGGTACTGACATTCCTTTCTGAAATGTGTTGTGATCTATGGATGAGCTTAGTAGCAATCTAATAAACAATTAACTGACAGACCTATTTTTTACAACAAATTCAACACAGAGGAAGGATGCAATTAATTGCAATTAAGGCACAGGACTGGGCAAGATGTGGGTCAGGATCATAGAATCATAGAATATCAGGGTTGGAAGAGACCTCAGGAGGTCATCTAGTCCAACCCCCTGCTCAAAGCAGGACCAATCCCCAACTAAATCATCCTGGCTCAGCCACTCATTTCCTTCGTGACTTTGGGCAAGTCACTTAATCTTCCAGTTCTTCAGTTCCTTATTCATAAAATGGGGAAAATAATCAAACTTCCTTTTACTTGTCATTTGTCTGTCTTAGCGATTTTGATCATAAGCTCTTTGGGGCAGGAACTCTCTTACTATGTCTCTACAGTACTTACCCCACTCTCATGTGGGGCCTTTAATTTCTACTGTAATACAACAGTAATAAATCTATTTTTAGCATACATAGCACACGAGACTTGTGAAGATGAGACTCAGAAGACCATCAATTTATTTGAGAATTACATTAACGTTCCGTTCGTGGGCTCCATGAACATTTAGTATCTTGGTGCTGATCCTCCCACTATAATTCAAATAGCTAGTGAACCGAAGTGCTCAGATATCCAGTGGGTGTGAGTTTCATGCTAAATTTATGCCTTCACTGAAAGGGAAGAGGTGAGGGCGGGGAGCCTACGCTTGTTGCTTGTTACCCAGAACGATGAAAATACATCTTCTACCATCCTTCTTATAGAGAAGAAGGATGATCCAATGACTAAGGTTCTAGCCTAGGCCTTGGACAACCTAGGTTCTATTTCCTGCTGTCACTGACTTCCTGTATGACCTTGGGCAAGTCACATAGCCGCCGTGACTGAGTTCCGCATCTGTAAAACGGGGACAATAGCACTGCACTGCCTCACAAGGGTGTTATGAGGAGAAATACACTAAAGATTGTGAGGTGCTCGGAAAATAAAATTATGGAGACCATAAAAGTTTAAACTGACCATAGCACGTTGTGCTAGATTCCATCAGAAGCCAATGCAGCATTCCATATGCATGACAGGACACATAAATCTCAGCCCTAGGCAAAGTGACACAATGTCACCATGTGAGAAAACAAAAATAAAACAACTGACACTACTGCTGTCATGCACCCAGTTACATGTGCAGAAAACCTGCAGAGATAGTTTGGCTGGAGTCAGGATCCTTGGGACCACCTCCTTCCCCTTGCCATCAATATCTCAGGAAGAAAGAAGAAGAAAAGATCTTCCAAAGACAACAAGATATTTTAGAGGAAAGGTTGCTGATGGCCCAATTCCCACTTTGTGTAGCAAAAATTTGAAGAAAAGCAGAAGGTGGCCAGATCCCCTCTGCGGGAAAGGATTGAAAAGCAGGAAGCTGGCAGCCTGATCCCAACCTCCAATATAAGTAGGATCTCCGAGGAATGACTGATGGTTAGCTGATCCCTCACAGGGGCAAAACCCAAATGCTCACATTGATGCCAACTGGTGCCCAATCCAGCTATGCGGGAGGGGGAACAACGGGGGAGGCACCAGGACCTCAGGGGCCGGGCAGGAGGGTCCTGCGGGCCGGATGTGGCCCGCGGGCCGTAGTTTGTCCAGCTCTGGTTTAAATCATAATCAGTTCAAAAGGTGGAACCAGAAATCTTTTTCACCTGGAGATTTCAGATGTACTGGTCTTGATATTTATACAACACCCACCAACAAGGACTACAGGACCCAACCCTGCTCCTAAGTAAAGTCAATTTTGCCATTGAATTCAAAAGAATATTCTGCCTCTACTCTTTATGGTGCGTCCAGAGTTTTTTAATGGACTTGTGAAAGTCATGAAAACCAAACATGGAAATCAAAACAATAAGCTGTAAATTGTTATTAGTGTTAGCAAGAAACTAGAATTTACAAGCAACAAAAGATTCTATGAAAACAAGTGGATGAGCACAGTGCAATTATACTATCATCCTTTAAAATCAATATGGATGGCTTCCCTTGGTACAATATTATACATGCCTAGTAACTTCAAAAGTTTAAATGGCTGAGCTAGAAGATCAGTTTATACCTTGGGAGAATATCAAGGATGTAAAGAAAACTGTTTGTCCTTGGATCAGATACATCACCTTGCAGGCCAATTCTAAGGGAGGACAAAGAAAAAAAACATGTATAGAACACAATTATCAGCTTGTCATCTTAGGTATTTGCTTTTAAAACAAAACATTTACAACTCTTCACTTAGGTCCTGCTTACACAAGGGATTCTGCACAGGCACCAGTGTCTGCACACATGGATATACTTGACGGATCAGGACCTTTTTCAGCGCTCTAAGGAATGAATATTTACTCCCAGACTCAGTCACAAAGAGGTTAGGGATTAAGAATCACATAGGACCCAATCCTGTAAATATCTAACCTTGGTCTGGACCCTGTAAAGTGCTAAGCTCTCTGGCCCAATCCATCAAAGCACTTAAACGTGCTTAACTTTAAGCACATGAGAAGCTCTGCTGAACTCACGGGACTACTCACATGCTTAATGTTAATCACAGGCTGAAGTGCTCTGCTGGATTGGGCTCAGAGTACTCAGCAGCTTCCAGGATCCAGTCCCACGTACATAATTGTATTTATATGAGTAAATCCATAGACTTAAATGGGATTACTTGGCAATTTTGCAACAGAAAAGCTTCAAAAACAGACTCCAAGGAGAAACTGCTGAGCTTGAATTAATATGCAAACTAGACACAATTAACTTGGGTTTGAATAGAGACTGGGAGTGGCTGGGTCATTACACATATTGAATCTATTTCCTTAAGTTAAGTATCCTCACACCTTCTTGTCAACTGTCTAAATGGGCCTTCTTGATTATCACTACAAAAGTTTTTTCTCCTGCTAATAGCTCATCTTAACTAATTAGCCTCTCACAGTTTGTATGGTAACTTCTAACTTATCTGTATGTGTGTGAAAAATATATATAATCTATCTCTTATTATATGTTCCATTCTATGCATCCGATGAAGTGGACTGTAGCCCACGAAAGCTTATGCTCTAATAAATTTGTTAGTCTTCTAAGGTGCCACAAGTCCTCCTGTTCTTTTTACTTGGCTAAGTGATTCCAGGCCCAGAGCTTGTATTTTTATTGGCTTATTTAAAAAGGAAAACAACAATAACAACATTTTGGTGCAAGCATTTTGGTATTTTTCATTTCCCAATTAATCTTACATAGCATTGTCTTATCAGTACATAATCAAAACAGAAAAGGAGTACTTGTGGCACCTTAGAGACTAACCAATTTATTTGAGCATAAGCTTTCGTGAGCTACAGCTCACTTCATCGGATGCATACCGTGGAAACTGCAGCAGACTTTATATACACACAGAGAATATGAAACAATACCTCCTCCCACCCCACTGTCCTGCTGGTAATAGCTTATCTAAAGTGATCATCAAGTTGGGCCATTTCCAGCACAAATCCAGGTTTTCTCACCCTCCACCCTCTCCCCCCCCCCACAAATTCACTCTCCTGCTGGGTTAGTCCCTAAGGTGCCACAAGTACTCCTTTTCTTTTTGCGAATACAGACTAACACGGCTATTACTCTGAAACCTGTCATAATCAAAACAGTAGATTTGGGAGGAAACAAACAACACCACCCACTCCACACATTGTTTTGAATCAAAAACACATTCTTAAAGATCATCTTTTTGGAAATTAAAGTCATTGGGATGATCAGAGGGCCAGATTCTGATACCCTTAATCATGTTGAGTGGCATCTTACTTCACGAGTAGTTCCAGCAACATCAATGGGATGGTTCATGGAGTGAGGGACTACTCAACAAGAGTAAGATTATTAGAACCTGGCCATGTGATCTGTTCGAGTTAAAGTAATTATTAAGGCTGTCAAGCAATTAAAAAAATTAACTGTGATTAATCGCGTGATTAAAAAAATTAACTGCGATTAATTGCACTGTTAAACAATAATAAAATACCAGTTATTTAAATATTTTGGGATGTTTTTCTACATTTTCAAATATATTGATTTCAATTACACCACAGAATACAAAGTGCTCACTTTATAGTTATTTTTATTACAAATATTTGTTCTGTAAAAAACAAAAGAAATTGTATTTTTCAATTCACCTCATACAAATAGTGTAGTGCAATCTCTATCATGAAAGCTGATCTTACAAATGTAGAATTACGTTAAAAAAAACCTGCATTCAAAAACAAAACAAAGTAAAACTTTAGAGCCTACAGGTCCATTCGGTCCTACTTCTTGTTCAGCCAATGGCTCAAACAAACAAGTTTGTTTACATTTGCAGGAAATAATGCTGCCCACTTCTTGTTTACAATGTCACCTGAAAGTGAGAACCGACATTTGCATGGCACTGTTGTAGCCCGCATTGTAAGATATTTTTACGTGCCAGATGCTCTAAAGATTTGTATGTCCTTTCACACATTATCTCCAGTATCCACACAGGTGTCAAATAGGTTTCAAAATCCTTGTGACTTTATATAAACTCTATCTAGACCCTGATTCTGATCCCCTTATTCTCTGTCAAATCATAGTATTTATTGCAGAATAAGCCAGTACAGTTTAAAGTACAGTATGTGTCCAAAGTCAGTGCATATACAAGGGAAGATTGTACTCTTGGCGTCACCCTGGAGTAATTCCAGTATTCTGTCTCGAGTTACTCTGGATTGAGAGAGATCAGATGCTAACCATTAACAAGCAAGGGGAGGTACCTTAAAAGGCCAAAAAAAAAAAAATTACAAACTTTCACTTTCACAGGTCACGTACAGGATGCAAAATAAGTGGTACATCAAGCTTCAGTAATTTTGACTGAAGTATGAAAGTATGACTAGCCCATCACCATTTTTACTGTAGTAGTAAGGGACTACTCAACAAGCGTAAAATTATTAGAACCTGACCATGTCATTTGTTACAGAGTTAAAGTAATTATGTTCATCGATTGAAACCTGACTGTTACTTGGAATTAATCAAATAAACGTACATCCTAGCAGACCTACTTCTTATCCAGTAAAGATCTGTCCAGTACCCACACAGAAATAGGCATAGCAAAAGATACTTGGGAAAATATAGACAGATATGAACCACAAAGTGTATGGATCTTGAGAATTTTTTTAACTTAATAAACATTCACAGTTACTGCATTTTTCTCCAGAACTGGAATATTTGTTATACACACCTTGTAAATGGCTGACATGGAGGACTCATCAAAATCATATCAAAAGATAATCTGTTTAACTCCGCCAGTGTTATGCCCTGAATAAGGAAGAAACATAAACATGCTTTTGGGATTGAGAGTTTTTTCTTTTACTGTCAATTACTGCTTTCTAGATTCCAAACTTTCTGGTTACTTCCACTGTTAGCAATCCCCTAGTAAAACCTTTCTAACCTGGTTCTTTGGCCTAATAACTGCGTCCTTCTCCAATACTTGCAGCGCAGATTTGTAAAGCGCAGATTTGTATTTACTTCAACAGTGCGCTAGCAGCACTGGTGAGGGCAGAGCACTTTCTTGATCCTGGGTTTGCCAATCACGCTTTTAGAGCGGCAGGAGATAGCTCACGTTTCTTTCAGTGGTCACATCAAAAATGTTAGCTATATTTTTCTCCCCCAAACAAACAAAGCACCTTTATTCAAGTATTTAACCATTTGTTGGTCAGAAAAAATATTTTAAAAAGCACCAAAACTCAACAGGAGAACAGAATTAGATTTTGAAAAAGCATTTTCCTCTCTGTAGTCACCTGTTTTTGGAGGGGGGTGGGGGGGTGAGAGAACCTGGATTTGTGCAGGAAATGGCCCACCTTGATTATCATACACATTGTGAAGAGAGTGGTCACTTTGGATGGGCTATTACCAGCAGGAGAGTGAGTTTGTGTGTGGGGGGGTGGAGGGTGAGAAAACCTGGATTTGTGCTGGAAATGGCCCAACTTGATGATCACTTCAGATAAGCTATTACCAGCAGGACAGCGGGGTGAGAGGGGGTATTGTTTCATGGTCTCTGTGTGTATATAATGTCTTCTGCAGTTTCCACAGTATGCATCCAATGAAGTGAGCTGTAGCTCACGAAAGCTCATGCTCAAATAAATTGGTTAGTCTCTAAGGTGCTACAAGTACTCCTTTTCTTTTTGCAAAGACAGACTAACACGACTGTTACTCTGAAACCTGTCCATAACAATCTCTCAAATAATAGTCACTTGTCCATAACAACCTCTCAAATATTATGTCTTTCTGGAAAGATAGCAAATTCCTTATGCGGAATCAAATGCCCAGAGGCTTTGCAGAGAATCTTCACGAAAACTTGGGGAACCTGTTTTTTCCACCTAGGCCACAAAGCATTAGGAGAGATACTTACATAATGACAGGTTTCAGAGTAGCGGCCAGGTTAGTCTGTATTCGCAAAAAGAAAAGGAGTACTTGTGGCACCTTAGAGACTAACCAATTTATTTGAGCATGAGCTTTTGTGAGCTACAGCTCACTTCATCGGATGCAGTCCACTGAACGCATCCGATGAAGTGAAGCTCACGAAAGCTCATGCTCAAATAAATTGGTTAGTCTCTAAGGTGCCACAAGCACTCCTTTTCTCATAGCACTTAGGAGCCCTAATCATGGACCAGGGCCCCCAGTGCTAGGTGGTGTACAAACACCAAACAAGAAGTGCAGCCAGGCTGTTCTGCAGCCATTATTGCAACACATGGGCTACAACAGCAGGTGTTGCCCTGGCACTCTTCCGACAGGGATAGCATGGTACTTACCAGAGCTGTTTTTTACCACATAAAATCCTGGTTTTTACCACCCTGGGAAAAACTAGCTAGGCATTTTCTATTTTAAAAATGGTTTCATTAATACATACCACATTACACTTAGTTTTATTTACATATTCAAACTGTGGTTACATGAGGCAGTAGATTCAGAGATTAATATAGGGTTGTACAAATAAAAAGTAAAACTGCTGTAGGTGTAATCCTAATATAGGTAATTATAATACTAAACATCAGAATGTCTGTACAGTGGAGTCGCATCTTACGCGGTGGTTAGGTTTCTAAAGTCAGCGCATAAGGCGAAAATCGCTTATAGTCAAAAAGACAGAGAAATGGAAGAATGAAAGAATAAAAAAAGGGAGAAAGACGACTTCAACATCATTATGCGCAAACCAGAGTGCCTCAGGATGGCCAGGAGCATTGTCTACGATCAGCAACACTTTAAAGTCAAGTCCTTTCTCTTAGAGGTACCGCTTGACCTCGGAATGAAACGCTTGTGGAACCAATCCAGAAATAATGCTGCCATCACCCAAGCCTTTTTATTTGATCGCCAGAACACGGGCAGGAGATTTTTGTTCTTGCCTTTTAGGGCACGGGGATTTGCAGCCCTGCAGAGTAAGCCCAGCTTTATTAAATGCCCAGCCGCATTGCCACAAAACAACACAGACATACAGTCTTTAGCTGCTTTGAAACCAGGGCCTGTCTTTCTGCTTTCGAAGTGTAAGTGCGGTTGGGCATTTTTTTTTCCAGAAGAGCCCAGTCTCGTCAGCATTAAGAACTTGTTCAGGAAGATAGCCCTTTTCTTTTATGATTTTCTTTAATTGTTCGGGGTAGGCTTTTGCTGCCTCTTCATTGTCTGATGCAGCTTCACCAGTAGTCTGCACGTTTTTGAGGTTGAAGCGGTTCCTAAAACTGTTAAGCCAACCTTGGCTGGCTTTGAATTCCTTCTCATCAGAAGGCTGTCCCTCTTCAGTGGGAGGTTTGAATAGCGCGTAGAGGCTAAGAGCCTTTTCTCGCAACGTGTTGCCATTGATGGGCACATGTTTATGGTTCATGTCTTCCTGCCATAATTAAATGCCTTTTCAGTCTTCACTAAAGTCTTATCATGCACCTGGCTCATCACCTTAGCCGTTATTGGAGCACTTGATGCCATGGCTGGACGAATTTCTCTCTCTCGATTCTTGATGGCACAGATGCTAGATTCGTTGCGGCCATATTTACGCACCACGTTGGAGACTGACATACCGTCTCTCAATAAGTCCAACACAGCCAGTTTTTCCTCCAGCGTTGGAACAGATTGCTGTTTCTTCGGTGGAGCACCAGATGAAGTAGTTGGCTTGCATTTAGGGGGCATGTTGTATGAAAAATACGTATCTTTAAACACTAGAATCACACTCAGCACGGCGAGATGCTCACTGGATGGGTGGGCAGCGATCGATCCAGCGGGGGTTGATTTATCGCATCTAGTCTAGACGCGATAAATCGACCCCCGAGTGCTTTCCCGTCAACTCCTGTACAGTACTCCACCACTGAGAGTTGTTATTTTTCTTTTTTGTTGCCAAATGCATATAGTTGAATTTGCGTAAGTTAAATGCGCGTATGATGCGACTCCACTCTATACATTTTGGTTAAGTATTTTCTTGAAGAAGTTTATACATGTTGACTTATTTCAGTTTTCAACATTACATAAACAAAAATGGAAATTATTTGATTACATTGAAACAATAATAATGCAGAGTTGTAAACTTGAAACATTAAGCAACACAATCAGAAGCACACAGAACGGCAGATAACTGGTCCAGGTCCATTTGGCCATGCAACATTTTATAGCAGAAGAGCAACCTTGAGGTAGTGGAGAGACTGAACCTATTCCTCAGTTCTGCACGTGCATATCCAAAGTTTGAAAAGATTCATTCTGTGCTTGCTGGACACTGCAATTGCACCACCAGTTCCATTCAGTCAGATGGAATACCAGCATTCTTCAGATTTTTCTACCATGTTTCAGGGGAAACCTTTTCCTAGAAAGCAGATGAAAAATGCTGATTTTTGGATACAGGGCTTCTGCTACTTTAAATGCAAGAAAATATGGCAGAAAGTTGAGAACTCTAGGGTACAGATGTGGGGACCTGCATGAAAAACCTCCTAAGCTTATCTTTACCAGCTTAGGTCAAAACTTCCCCAAGGTACAAAATATTCCACCCGTCGTCCTTGGATTGGCCGCTACCACCACCAAACTAATACTGGTTACTGGGGAAGAGCTGTTTGGACGCGTCTTTCCCCCCAAAATACTTCCCAAAACCTTGCACCCCACTTCCTGGACAAGGTTTGGTAAAAAGCCTCACCAATTTGCCTAGGTGACTACAGACCCAGACCCTTGGATCTTAAGAACAATGAACAATCCTCCCAACACTTGCACCCCCCCCTTTCCTGGGAAATGTTGGATAAAAAGCCTCACCAATTTGCATAGGTGACCACAGACCCAAACCCTTGGATCTGAGAACAATGAAAAAGCATTCAGTTTCTTACAAGAAGACTTTTAATAAAAATAGAAGTAAATAGAAATACAGAAATCCCTCCTGTAAAATCAGGATGGTAGATATCTTACAGGGTAATTAGATTCAAAAACATAGAGAACCCCTCTAGGCAAAACCTTAAGTTACAAAAAAGATACACAGACAGAAATAGTTATTCTATTCAGCACAATGCTTTTCTCAGCCATTTAAAGAAATCATAATTTAACACATACCTAGCTAGATTACTTACTAAAAGTTCTAAGACTCCATTCCTGGTCTATCCCCGACAAAGACAGACTATAGACAGACCCACAGACCCTTTGTTTCTCTCCCTCCTCCCAGCTTTTGAAAGTATCTTGTCTCCTCATTGGTCATTTTGGTCAGGTGCCAGCGAGGTTACCTTTAGCTTCTTAACCCTTTACAGGTGAGAGGAGCTTTCCCCTGGCCAGGAGGGATTTCAAAGGGGTTTACCCTTCCCTTTATATTTATGACACACCACCAGTTCCATTCAGTCAGATGGAATACCAGCATTCTTCAGATTTTTCTACCATGTTTCAGGGGAAACTTTTTCCTAGAAAGCAGATGAAAAATGCTGATTTTTGAAAACAGGGCTTCTGCTACTTTAAATGCAAGAAAATATGGCAGAAAGTTGAGATTTTTGCTGAGCATCCAGAGCCCTGCAATTTCTTCTTGATCAGCTGACAATTTCTTTCCTGCATATTCTGGATGAAGGCAGTTGGCAAAATGTGTACTGGAGTAATTGTCTCACAGAATCTTTTTGTGCTTCTGCTTTGTGTGATACAAGATCTTCATTTATCATTGGCTCCAACCACACTTTGCATGCAACAGCAATTGTTGATGTGTCCCTTTGGAATGCCAACGTGGATTGGGCTTTGTTGAGATGTACTTGGCAATGACAATGCAGTATTACCAGTACCTCCAAGTCAAATCTTCACACACGTTTAGCCAAAGTCAGTTATTCCAGTGTCTCTTTGTCCTTTCCACTGCATTTTGCAAAATGTTTCCTCATAGGGTCTGCCTTCCCACTCCATTTTGCTTCACAATTTCTGCATCAAAAGACTCTTTGCCATCGTAATGAACTTTCTCAACATAACCATGAATCGGGTCAAGTGGTCTTCCACCTTTGCGCATGTTGAAATATTTTTACTTAAGTCACTGTACTCAGAGTTCAGTTACAGCACTTGCTCTCCAGCCAGCCAGAGCAAGAGGCAAAGTACTGGCCTGGACAGTTAGTTCAGCAGCTTATCTCAAATACTGAAACTTCTGAATCTGGGGATTTCTCTTCTTTGCTAAACAAACATTTGATTTTCATTACTAAACAAAGAAGGGGAATTCCCAGATTCAGTAGATTTTGTTTTAAATAGCCAAGGCAATAGCATACAGCACTATACTGAGGCTATATTTTGTGTTATTTTATTTGCTTTATTCAAAATTAAACAGACCATATTACTGAAAAACTATTTTCAAATTCCTAAATATTTTTCAGTAATATTCATTAGTCTATTCTCAAAGTAATTTTATTGTTCCCAGTTTAAACTAGTATTTACCAAGGCCCCACGCTAAACTAGTTTTCCCTGGGAAACTCCCAACTCTGTCTCCCTATGCATTTGCTTTTGACCAGCAGATCCACATGGTTGTGGAGCAAATAACCAGGATCGTATACTCAACGTGGCATCCTGCCAAATCTCCTCTCCATACTGACAAGGACGACAGGGCTATTGCTTCGCAGCAGGCAAAGAGTGCACCATTCCCACGTGCTGTTTTTCCATGGCCTGCCTGCCTTCTGCTGTTACTTTTAGCTTTGGGGGCCAGGACTTGCTGCACCATACTCTGCTAAATAATGTGGACAAATTCTTACACAGAATGATACTGTCCAATTAAATGTGTGGGGTTTTTAGGTTTATTTTTAGTTAGGACAAAGATTTTTTTAAAACTAGTAGACTGAAAGTTGTATGTTTAACTGGCATGTCTAAGGTTCCAGAAGTGTTAGACCGTAAAGACTCACATTTCATCCAGAAATACCATTATAAACAGAATATTTCATACCATGTCATGTGCTGTTGCTTAACAAGTCATGTGTTATAGCTTAACTGTTGGGTAACCCTAACAGGAAGGGTTTTAACTTAGATCTTACTAGTGGTGAAGATGTTTTTTCTTTAAGGTACACTGTGAAAAGTTTATTCTGGTCCTTTCTGTGTAAAATCCCACAAAGCTAGTTTTATGGCTTACTGGTCATACAATACAAAAAGACTTTTGTTTAAAGCAGAAAGAATTAGATCTGTGTTGCAGAATTACTACCAGAGCTACAAGTTCATTAAACTGCACCAGAAGGTTTAGCTAATAGTATGTGTGGTTTTTTTTTTTTAAATAACTTAATAATCAGCCAACCTGTAACATCCCACCTAGAGAAACAGAAACAAGAAAGTAGGTCTGATTATGGTCATGAAAAATAATTGCTGCTTTTTATTTATTTCAGGGGTTAGCTTTATAAAAGAAAAGTTACTAAAATTCCATATAAAAACAGCAACGCAAGAGAGATTTTACTGTTTTCCCACAAAGCTTAAGGAAGATTTTATTGACTTGAATATACTCTTAAAATCCATCAAGGACATAAAACGTAATTCCTCTTCTTTCTTTTCCCCCATTTAAGAAACTCAGATCTGACACTAGTCAGCAAGTACCAAGTGCTGAATAAGCAGGCAACCTTTAGCCATCCACTCTGGTTTTACTTAAACTGGTGTGTTAAAACAAGCTCAGAAACTTCTACTATCAGGCTGAAAACTGTGATGGGAGATTAAAAGGTGTTCAGTAATTTCTAACCACTCTGAAATGGACATATATTATACAAATCCATGTGGCTAATTTATAATTCCCCTGTCATATTAAACATACTAGAACAAAAATGTGTAATTAAAATTTGTGGCATAAATCAACAAAAGCATCAAGCCTTTTTATAAGCACTGAAGTTAATTTACAAAACTCTTTTTCAAGGAAATTAGAGAGGGAAGAGACTTACTAGGTCACCTGATCGATCCAGCCCTCTAACAATGCAGGATTGTTCCCTACAGTGTATTTTAAATTGCTTTTTCCAATCCAGTTTTAAATGTTGAATAAATGAATGTCTCTTACTAATTTGACAAAATTCTTTTACACTTCTTTTTATTTTGGGGGTTGATGCTTGGCTATGTAGCCTTTACTGGCACAGTAATCAAGCATCCTTATACAGCAGGTTTTCAGGAAAAACAAAATCCTTCTCAGCTAATCAAGGGCTTCTCTACATTGAGACGTTGTCAACAAAACTTTTTTCTTGCACGGGTACTTAAAAAAGCCTCCCCGCAAAAAAACAAGCAAGTTTCGCCAACGCAAGTGGCAGTGTGAATGCGGTTTTGCCGCTTGCAGGGCTGGAAGTATTTTGTTGGCAGAAGTGCCAAAAAAATACTGATAGAGAGCGTTCACACGTGCTGAATTTTAGCGACAAGGTTGTGTCAACCTTAGTGTAGTGTAGTGTAGACTATGCCCTAGAAAGCATCAGTCTGTACTCTATGCATGTGTGTATCTCCCTCAAGCAGTAGTTACACCTCTAGGAATCTACCAAAGTCATTACTACACATAATCCAACAAAGCAATCCTTTTACATTACTGCCTCCCAGTTTCAAGTGTTCTGATTTCACATTCCCCACTAATACTCAACTGAGATGGCTAGAGCAGAAAGAGACACGTGTCCATTACTCACCTCAATTGTCTTTGCCCACAATGGCGTGCTGGGAAAGTTGTGTTTGTACACTTCGTTAGCAACAGTGTTCACATCAACAGCAGCAACGACTTCTGCAGATATACAGCTTTCTGGAATTAAGAAAGGAATTTGCAAAACCATACCTGTGCTTTAAAATACACTACATTTTCTCATGATACCAGAGCTAATGCACAAATAGTTTTACAGGTAAAGGAAAAAAGAGAAATAATGTGCTCAGAACTGCTGTGTCGACTCAAACTTTACACAAAATGTACCACAATCACCTCATTTTATAGCCAAAGCTGCCTTTCTCCACCCACTGCACTCTAAAAAATTATTTGTAATCACTGTAACACACACACGCACACAAACTCCATCCACCCTCTTCTTGGTCATTATTCTAGCTACATTTTTTCTAAGTAAGAACACAGGGGACATAGGGCTTTGCAGATCAACATGCCGCACCATGCAACAATTGACAGAAATACTCTAGCTACTAATCAGAGATCTTACACCCTGGAAACCAGACTTGCCACTCTTGAAGCATATTGTTTGTCAGTTTGGGAAACTGGGTTAGTAAAGTTGTCCTTGAACTTGGGTCATCTATGTTGCTACACTGCAACATCCAGAAGGGGGATTTTTAAGGTCACTGAATCACTTTATTGCTTGTATTGCACCTTGGGCCCTGACTCTGAAAATGTTTTGTATGAGTGCAAGGATCCCCTGGTATAGAGTAGCTTGAAGGACAAAGACATTAGACAGCTCTTAATGTAACACCATAGCTTCTTAGATGAAAAGAGAAATGACTGACTTCTTTAAATATATTAATGAAAAAGCAGGAGACTGCAGTATAAATCTAATAATAATTATCCAAAAGGAAAAATGCAGAAAACAGACACAAAGTACACAATGAGTTTATAGAGCAACAGAATAACCCAATTCTACAAAAACTCAGATCACAAAAGATGCTGTTCAGTCTATCACTGATCATAGCACATTGCTTCCTGATAGTAATCACATCCTCTAGAGCAGGGGAGGGCAAACTACAGCCTGTGGGCCGCATCTGGCCTGTCAGGGCTTTCAATCCGGCCCACAGCATTGCCAGCCCCATGGCATAGCGGGGCTAAGGCAGGCTTCTCACCTCCCCTGGCCCCGCACCGTTCCTGGAAGCGGCCGGCACCACGTCCCTGCGGCCCTGGCGGGGGGGAGAGGGACAGAGGGCTCCGTGCGCTGCCCTTGCCTGCAGGTACCGCCACCCGCAGCTCCCACTGGCCAGGAATGGGGAACCGCAGCCAATAGGAGCTTTAGGGGTGGTACCCGCAGGTGAGGGCAGTGCGCAGCAGAGCTGTCTGCCCCACCCCACCCCCCAGGAGCCACTGCTGGACATGCTGGCCACTTCTGGTAGCGGCCCAGGGCCCAGGGCAGGCAGGGAGTCTGCCTTAGCCCCACTGTGCACCACTGCCACCCCGGAGCTACTCGAGGTAAGCAGTGCTGGGTCAGAGCCTGCACCCCAACCCTCTGCCCTGAGCCCCCGCCACACCCCTCCTGCATCCCTACCCCCTGCCCTGAGCCTTCCCGCACTCCGCACCCCCTCCTGCACCTCCAACCCCCTGCCCTGAGCCTCTTGCCGCACCCCATACCCCACACCCCTACCCCCCGCCACAGCCCTCCTGCACCCCAACTCCCTGCCCTGAGCCCCCTGCCACACCCTACACCCCCCATGCACCCCAGCCCCTTGCACTCCTGCCCCGAGCCCCCTGCCACACCCATCCTGCACCCCAATCCCCCACCCTGAGCCCCCTCCGGCTCCTCTCACCCTTCCTGCACTCCAACCCCTTGCCCTGAGCCCCTTCCTGCACACCGCACCCCCTCCCACACCCCACACTCCCTCCTGCACCCCAACCCCCTGCCCCAGCCCTACATTCATGGCCCTGCATACAATTTCCCTACCCAGATGTTCCCCTCAGGCCAAGAAGTTTGGCCACCCCTGCTCTACACTGAGCCATTTTACATAAATAAATCTTTATGTTCATCAATAGAAGCACAGGAGGCAATCATGCATGCACTTTCTACTGTAAACTACATCAATTCCAACAGCAACTCCACAAGCCGCTTGCCATGTTATTCCAACTTCAGCATTAACAATTTTAATTTGTTTTAGTCCAAAAAGAGACAAGATAGACTTCTTTATTTTAATAACATCACTTTTCAAAACGACATGCTCTCAACCTGAGTACATCATATGAATGATTGCTAATTATCCGTTGAGTACTGTAAATGTTCAGGATACTTTACAAAACAGAGTTAAACACTTTCCATGCCCAGCAATTTCGGAGCAGGAAAGCCAAGTACAGGATTCCAATAGTGACAACTAGATCACTGAAAATTAAAGCCTCATCTACTATATCTGATTGGTAGAGCTTTCAAGCCTCTTCCATCTTACTCACATTTCTCTGCTGTTCAGAAATATTTGAAAGGTCACAGTGTGAAACAATATATAGGAATTTTCATTCAGGCAACTAACGTTTTCTGGTTTGCTCACTTAATTTAACCAATGACAATCTGAGCCTCATGGGAAAAAGATGAATAGGTGAACTATGTGAGCGTCTATTAAAGGCTCGTTTTATAGCGTCTCTTATTTTCCTTCTTGACACTGTGAACACACACTGTTACAGATGTATTACACACAGGTATGTTCATAGCAGAGCAACTGTGATGACTACACCTGGGACTGTGGATCCGGTATGGTAACGCTGACATCCAGTGCGGAAAAAAAAAGCCAGTTTAGCAAATCAACTGTCTAAATTTCGAAGCGTATTTAAAATCCAATATGATGGACTTCCTACAGCACAAAAGTAAAGCCTAGGTAATGGATACAGATTTCCAGTACAACAATGGAGATTCCTTTTGAAGACATATTGCCCCTAACTAACAGGTGCCTGCCCTGTGGGTGCCCTGTCAGGAATGGAAATTAACCATCTCCAATCATTATCCCATCAAACAAACAATAAAAGTGGCAGAAGCTGGAGGCTCTGACAGCCACTCTTAGGTCAGTTGTTCACCCTTTTCACCACCACTCTTTCCATCCCCTTAGTAAAAAATTTAAAAAAAAACCAAAAAAGTGAGGGACTTCAATCAAGGGCTTTGTAGGCCCTAAAGGCTGGCCCATGGTGGTCACTTTTAACCCAAACCATAAAGGCTAATTCTGGAGGGAAAGGTATAGAAACTTTGTTCTAATTCTCCTCATCCAATACCTATTTCTCTAACTCCACAATGCTGGGATCTTATAGGATCTCATTTTCGTGCAAAGGATGGATTTCACTTTCCTCCTATTGAGCTGAAATAGCATTAAACTCAAAAAAATTTACTAATAAGACTTTTCTTCAGCGTTCAGATCCCAACATTCAGAAGTGAGTAATGTAATGGAAAGCACGGCTATTTTCTTTTTTTAGATGAGCTTTTTCAAGAGAAGCGGGGAAAACAATGCACCTGGTATGACAACAATAGTTTTCCTGAGAGCACAGCATAGGCAGCGTGATGCCATTGCCCAGCAGAATCAAATTTGTTAGCATAATTAGTTACATTAGCCTACTTCCCACTATATCTATATAGTCAAGCATAGAATTTTGTCTTTACAAAAAACACTGTTACCACGGTCAGGTTTTTCTCTGGGTTTGGAGAAACAGCAAGTGTGTCTTATCTATCAGTCTTAGGTTCTTCTACAGAGATACTTCAGCACAGTTCTAAGCACCTTACAAACAACATAAAGTACTAATAGCTTTTCTTCTATGTTACAGTAAGTAAAAGAATATACGAGCGTTTCGGTTCACAAAACCTCTTGGCAAACTAAGAGCACTGCTGCTTTATATGAATTGCAGACTCTGCATTACAAGAACAGTAATTAATCAATATATACTGGGCAAGAAACTTCCTGGTGCAACCAAATTGAGGTCATCACATGAACAATAGGAAGGATAGGGTCACCTTTACAGTCACATTTCCTGGGGCCCCATTCAATCTCTGGTGTAAATCAGAGGAGTCTCTGGGCTGCTTTGACTTACTTGCAGCTGTTCATGGCCCCAAGGAACTGTTCTGGCAGCTCAGAATTGCAAGGACACAGGGTAACCCCAGCCACTATCCCTCTCTACCAAGGATATCCCACAATGGGGTACCGGGGCAGAGCGTTGCACAAAGCCGCTATGCCAATTCTGCATTCCTTGGGAGTTCCTCTTACACAAGTGATTTCGTCAGAAGGTGGCTTTCTGGTTGCTTTACACCACTGGAACTGAACAAAGCAGCTGGAATGGACGAATTAATCTGGACCACTGTATCTAGCAAAGGAAAATCTGCATACCCAAGATCTCACCAAAAAAAAAAAAAAAAATTAAAATCATCCTTTGTGAGATTTTATTAAAATCATTTAAATATTTAATCTGGATGCTAAATTTTGATGTGAATAACTCAATGGCCACCACATTTCTGTATAATTGTCTTTTTCCATCATTCAGGGCTTTTTTCTGAAACCAAAAGAACAAACTTACGCTTTATTTTTAATTATACATTTTACTTAATTATCCAGCAATGGGCAAAAAATCTATTTACTTGTCTAGAAACATGTAACGTTTAGGCATTTCTGACTAGGTTACAGCCAGTTAACTGAACTCCCAAGAAAAAAACCCAGCACAAATAAAGAAACATGCACTGCCCTCGAGATGTCTCTTAAAAGAATAGGTGCCAGTTTTCAAGGGCTGGCAAAGTAATTAAACTGTAGCTGTGTAGAAAACAACTTAATGTTAGGAAGACTAGGAATAAGGCATACATTTTTAACAGTGAGGGCAATTAACCACTGAACAACATTCTTAGGGACATGGTGGATTCTCCATCACTTGAAGTCTTCAAATTCAGACTAGATAGCATATCTTTTGGAAAGCTATAAATTCAAACTGCAGTTATGGGCTTATGCAGAAATTACTGTGTGAGGTCATATAGTCTGTGCTACCATAACATCATAGAAGACTAGGGTTTGAAGAGACCTCAGGAGGTCATCTAGTCCAACCCTCTGCTCAAAGCAGGCCCAACCCCAACTAAATCATCCCAGCCAGGGCTTTGTCAAGCCAGGCCTTAAAAACCTCTAAGGATGGAGATTCCACCACCTCCCTAGGTAACCCATTCCAGGGCTTCATCACCCTTCTAGTGAAATAGTTTTTCTTAATATCCAACCTAAAATCTACCCCACTGCAACTTGAGGCCATTGCTCCTTGTTCTGTCATCTGCCACCATTGAGAACAGCCTAGCTCCATCTTCTTTGGAACCCACCTTCAGATAGCTGAAGACTGCTATCAAATCCCCCCTCACTCTTCTTTTCTGCAAACTAAATAAGCCCAGTTTCCTCAGTCTCTCCTCATAAGTCATGTACCCCAGCCCCCTAATCATTTTCGTTGCCCGCTGCTGGACTCTCTCCAATTTGTCCACATTCTTTCTGTAGTGGGGAGCCCAAAACTGGATGCAGTACTCTAGATGTGGCCTCACCTGTGCCGAATAGAGGGGAATAATCACTTCCCTCGATCTGCTGGCAATGCTCCTACTAATGCAGCCCAATATGCCGTTAGCTTTCTTGGCAACAAGGGCACACTGTTGACTCATATCCAGCTTCTTGTCCACTGTAACCCTCAGGTCCTTTTCTGCAAAACTGCCGCTTAGCCAGTTGACCCCCAGCCTGTAGCAGTACATGGAATTCTTCCGTCCTAATTGCAGGACTCTGCACTTGTCCTTGCTGAACCTCATCAGATTTCTTTTGGCCCAATCCTCCAATTTGTCTAGGTCACTCTTGATCCTATCCCTACCCTCCAGCATATCTACCTCTCCCCCCGACTTAGTATCATCTGTGAACTTGCTGATGGAGCAATCCATCCCATCATCCAGATCATTAATGAAGATGTTGAACAAAACCAGCCCCAGGACTGATTCCTGGGGCAGTCTGCTTGATACCAGCTCCCACTTATGCAGGAGGTCAGAGTTGATCCTAAATCTGGCCTTAAAATCCAAATTTTAGAGCACTCGTGTCCACTTACTGCTATGGTGAGAGGGGGAGGTAGTGACCTAAAGATGCAGAAATTCAAACAGAAGGAAGTAAAGTGGTTACCTCTGTTCGTTTTAGATTTGGAAGAGGCAATCCACAGTTTATAGATCTTTGTAAAAGCTTGAAAATAAAATTTCGTTTGCTACCAAATATGTCCTTTTACACTTGACAAACCGATTCCCCTGTCATGTGTTTCTAACAGACCTTAAAATTAGCATAGATCTGTTTATATTTATTGCTGCACTCCTGCACCAGAATCATCAATGTCAGCACAGCACATGGAATATATAGCATACTGCCAAGGGCAGGGTCTGGCAGATCTGAAAACAAAGGGAATTCAGAACCAAAATAACTATCTACTGTAGAAGATTATGAAAACAGATGTAAAAAGAGAGAACGGACACATTTTATGCCAGTTCAGTTTCCTTTTAGAATAAACAAAGATTTCATTTTTGGTCTATTATCGACTTTTAGGTATAGATATTAGCCTGGACCATCAGTCAACATGATGCTTGATTCCTGCAAGATAATCAATTTCTTCCTTTCCATCACCACACACTCAGTATCTATGCCTGCAGAGTAGAACAACCAAATGTTGATTTTTATAATTTTTAACCAACACTATTCTTCTGCCAAAGAAGCTATCTTTTAGAAATTAATGAGAAAGAGACTGCCCAGATTGACAATATGGTTTCATCTGGGGTTTTACTGGACTATATTTCTGCCTGCCAATTTTTCTTTTATTTAAATGTAACTGCTCTTAGTGATAAAAAAATAATTACTTATATTGAAACTTACATTAATCACTGGGGAAAAAAATATACAATTGAACTTGTAACCTAGAAGTGGTACCTTTTAAAGTTCTTCTCTCATATTTCATGCACAAACAAATTTTAAACATGGGTGATCCAGATAACTAGACGTTTGCATGGAACAGACTTGGAGTTAATTGTGCATGGGAAAGCTGCCTAAATTAATAAGCCATGAAAAGTTTGTTTTATTTTGTTGGGTTTTTTGGTTTGGTTTTGATTTTTGCTTGTTTGTTTGGAGGAGGATTGCTGTGGAAGAGGACTAGATGGAAAGATGACTTTTCTAAAAACAAAACATAATAATTACCATTGCAGATGTTCTGTGGTTAAACAAATATATATGGCAGTTTTTGGTGTCTGACATCTAACTGTCAAAGTCTCCTATTTCTTAACAGTGGAGAGTCTGGCCTGGAGCAGCAATCAATCACATTACCTTGTAATGGGAATAAACAGGATTACATTCTGCTTTCAGACACCCCGAGGTAAGGGCCCAATCCTGAAAGCCTCAACAATGTGTGCGATCCCGTTAACTTTAATAGAACTATTCACACACACAGAACAGGGCCTCAATGAGGGGGATATTACATTGGCTCCAACAGACTAACCGGACATGTCTGAGAGCACAGACTACTGCATTCTAATCCCTAGATCTGTCACTGACTCCCTTTGTGACCTTAGTTAAAGCACTTATCAGAATTATACTTATGTTACTAAACATTAGAAATCTCCTTACAAAATTGTAAAGCTCTAAAACAACATACTACAAACTTCACTGTGTATACTGAAGTATCTCTATGTAAAGTATAAGCAAAGAGCTGCAGATTTTTCACCAGGAGTTTCAGGACTGATAGCTAACTTTAGTAATAAAGGATTGAACCAACACTCATGTCTCCATTGACAACAATATACTAATGCTCTCTGTGTGCTACTGAAGTGAAAATATTGGGGAACAAGCCTAGTCTGTATAAATAAGTCACCACCACGCCACATGTATCTCCTACTATTGGATAAAAACTGTGGATATCTCAGAAACTGCTATATTGAAGTACTGTTGCCAAATGTTGATTTTTTTAGGGCTTTATTTGGTATGTTGGTTGCCATTATCTTGCAAACTCTTACACATATACTTTAATTTCAATATGATTACTCACTCATCTTAAATACACATGTAAGTTGTTTGCCAGATTAGAAACTAAAAAGATGCCAGGAAGCAGGAGGGAAGGTATCCTTAAGCTTGATTATGGAAAATATATATTCACCAATTACAAACACTAATGATTTTACAGAAAAACACAAGTTAATCTACCTCTAAGTTAGATGCTAATGTGGTAGGGAACCAACACTGATACTCATCTTGGCAGCACTGTAGAAATCCTTTTGCAGAACTAGTTTCTCTTGCTGCAGACTGTCACTAAGGTTTTATATACAATCTTTTCTTTTTTAAAATAACAAACAGCTTCTTTTCCTCTCATTTTTCTTGGACAAACACATTTACTGGAATCATTATTAAAAGAAGCCAATGAGCAACTTACTCTTCATTTCTCATGAATCCTGCTGACTATACCACACACCACTGGTGAATGCAGGATCTCTTTTCTTCCCAAACATTTGGAGGAAACTCCCATAATGCCTCAATACCAGATGGTGCTGAGAATTCTATTGTCTCCTGTCACATGACAGCAGAAGAATTCTATTAGAGAAATGTATGCCATGGTACCACTCTGTTTATAACTGCATATGCACAAGTTTGAAGCACACATGAATTCTTGCTATTATACATGAAAAAGTAATTGCAAGGAATGTTTACTTTCTTCATCTGATCTTCACATGAAAACAAATATTTGAGTCCCACTTTGCCTTTACTTTGTGCCTTTATAAGGATAAACATCATGAGTAAACTAAATCCAAATGGCTAAAAGACACATCAAAAATGTGGATAAAGTAATAGAATAGAACCCCTTTTATTCATGCTTCGCAGTTATTAGTCTTAACAGGACTCAAAACAAGACTCGTCTGCAAGTGCAAAATTTGCAGAATTTTAAAGGGACATGGAAATAAGGAACCAAGGGGCAGTTTGTACTTCTCATCACACACTTCCAATAAAGAAAAATAGCCGGATCTGAAAAAAGTAATGTCAGCTGTGATGCAAATGGTATTGTATCCATTTGATATGCAAATTTCAATTGGTACTTAACCTTCAACACGATCCAGGGTCATTCAAACAAATAAGAATTCAAGCCTTCCCCTAAAGACATGAGTCGCTTCATCTGCTCTGGCTGGTACCTCTAAAAAGAATCTCAGCCATACTATTTGTATTTATTGTAATTTCTTCATTTGAAAGTAACCCCAAAAGAACGGAAATGTAAATTACTATCGACACTGACACTGCTGCAATTGTTCAGAAACTTCATCTGTGATTCTAAGCTGCAGCTGAAAGTTCTGGAAATAAATGGAACCTTTCTGGGACCAACAGCAGTGATTTAGTTCCCTCCCTCCCCTCACAAAATAAACATATCCTAGAATCAAGGGTGATGATTTGGTCACACTCCCAACATTCTCAAGCACAAGCAGTATGCAGTGTGGTGTTACACAATCATCGTACTTTTTGCACACCTATTTGCAATATTCTCATATTTCTCCGAGGCTACATCTCAGAAAGGCTCATCTCTCATAGCTAATTTGTTGCTTTTATGCTGTGGTATTACATTTTAATTGGACCGTTGGCATCTGTAGGACCTCCTGAGATTCCCACCAACTTTTAACACATTGGTATCAGTATTTGTTAATCATTGGAGGATGTTACTGGGTGTTCACAGCGTGTCTATTATTATGTTAACAACAGAACCAGATAACATCCGGGGATGATTTTTCCCATACATATAGATACTAACATGTGACAAGTGAATAATGCTGTGAATTCAGTCTGTTTTTCATGAAATCTCATGGAAAGCAAGATAAAACGTTCAGATTTTCTTTTAGAATTAAGACTATGTTAGACAGGAATACAAGAAACAAAGTATCCATCTCTTTTGCTTTCAGTTAAGATTCCAGAATCTCTAGAACTCTCAACAAAAATACCTGTGGCCCATATTCTCTTCCAAAGACATCTTTAGGGAATGAGAGAGGTGTTTGGTCCCAAAGACAGTTATTAAGGCTTAGTTGTATCTTTAACTAGTCCTACTTTTTTGCATGTTCACATATTTTATTGTCTTGCCTTTTAGTTACTGTAACACAATTACACACAAAAATATTAAAATAAAACACAATAACCTACTTTTTGCGTGTGTTGGGCAAGACATTTTAAATACCTTGTTTTTCTCTTACATTTTATTCTGCTGGCAAGCTCCTCCAGGTGCATTCTAAAATCCTTACTGAAAGCTTTCATATTAACTGTATTTATAAACCACAAACAATGTCTAAAAAGCTCTTCTTTAAAACTATGTTCCTTCATTTTCCACCTCCTAGTGTTCCGGGAACTTTAACAGGCAGGCACCTGGCAAAAGAAGAGATGAAGCTGCCTGACTTTCCAAATAACTTAAAGAAATGAAGAAAACAGATGTTACTGGCATAGAAAAAAAATGAATCCCTTTATGCCCAAGATAAGCACAGTTATTCACAACAACCAAAGAAAATGGAACTGAAGGTAAGGCGGGTTCAGTCAAAAGGAAGATCTCTTAGTCTGGCATAGGAGAGTGAAGTGACAGCAAGTCTAAGGGCAGTCTACACTACCATGCTACATCAGCGCAGCTGCGCCACTTAATGCGTCTGGTGAAAATGCGCTATGCCAATGGGAGAGTGCTCTCCCATGAGCATAATTACTCCACCTCCGTGAGAGGCAGAAGCTATGTCGGCGGGAGAGCATCTCCCACTGACATAGTGCAGTGTTAACAGCACTTAAGCGGATTAAATTGCATTGCTCACGGGGGTGTCTTTTTTCACACCCTGAGCAACGTAAGTTACATCAACTTAAGCAGTAGGGTAGACCAGCCCTAAGGATATCACCTTAATAGTCTGCAGAGCACCTGCGTTGGTGTGCCTAATACAGGTTTTAAATGTTTTTATAAACCACTTGAAGAAACCTTGGTAATACCTGGCCAGAGTATTTAAGTTGGTCCCCCTTATTAGACCTTTAGTAGTTAAAATGCTGCTTGGGAGAAAAGGGGGTGTGTCTAGGATATGTATTTAATTACAATACTTTCCTTCAGGCCAACTAGTGTTCTCCCTGAAATTCTTTTTCATAAATTCAGGTTTCAACATAATCCAATTTAATTTATGATTTGGCAGGAATCGTTGTAATATTCACTAAAATCTTTACAAATACTTCAGCCCTAATAAAGGCTAAAAATTAGGGCTGTCAATTTTTCGCAGTTAACTCACACAATTAACTCAAAAAAAATTAATGATAAAAAAATTGTGATTAATCACAGATTTAACTGCACTGTTAAACAATAGAATACTAATTGAATTTTATTAAATATTTTGGATGTTTTTCTATACTTTCATATATTTTGTATTCTGTGTTGAAATCAAAGTGCATATTATTTTTGAAAATATTTGCACTGTAAAAATGATAAACAAAATAAATAGTATTTTTCAATTCACCTCTTACAAGTACCATAATGCAATCTCTTTACTGTAAAAAGAAAAGGAGTACTTGTGGCACCTTAGAGACTAACCAATTTATTTGAGCATGAGCTTTCGTGAGCTACAGCTCACTTCATCGGATGCATACCGTGGAAACTGCAGAAGACATTATATACACACAGAGACCATGAAACAATACCTTCTCCCACCCCACTGTCCTGCTGGTAATAGCTTATCTAAAGTGATCATCAAGTTGAGCCATTTCCAGCACAAATCCAGGTTTTCTCACCCTCCGCCCCCCCCCCCCCCACACACACACACAAACTCACTCTCTTGCTGGAAATGGCCCATCCAAAGTGACCACTCTCTTCACAATGTGTATGATAATCAAGGTGGGCCATTTCCTGCACAAATCCAGGTTTGGATTTGTGCTGGAAATGGCCCACCTTGATTATCATGCACATTGTACGGAGAGTGGTCACTTTGGATAAGCTATTACCAGCAGGAGAGTAAGTTTGTGTGTGTGGTTTTTGGAGGGGGGTGAGGGAGTGAGAGAACCTGGATTTGTGCAGGAAATGGCCCACCTTGATTATCATACACGTTGTGAAGAGAGTGGTCACTTTGGATGGGCTATTACCAGCAGGAGAGTGAGTTTGTGTGTGTGTGGGGGGGGGGGGGGGGGCGGAGGGTGAGAAAACCTGGATTTGTGCTGGAAATGGCCCAACTTGATGATCACTTTAGATAAGCTATTACCAGCAGGACAGTGGGGTGGGAGGAGGTATTGTTTCATGGTCTCTGTGTGTATATAATGTCTTCTGCAATTTCCACGGTATGCATCCGATGAAGTGAGCTGTAGCTCACGAAAGCTCATGCTCAAATAAATTGGTTAGTCTCTAAGGTGCCACAAGTACTCCTTTTCTTTTTGCGAATACAGACTAACACGGCTGTTACTCTGAAACCTCTCTTTATTGTGAAAGTGCAACTTACAAATGTATATTTTTTTTGTTACATAACTGCACCCAAAAACAAAACAACGTAAAATTTTAGAGCCTACAAGTCCACTGAGTCCTACTGCTTGTTCAGCCAATCGCTCAAACAAACAAGTTTGTTTACATTTACAGGAGATAATGCCGCACTCTTCTTATTTACAAAGTCACCAGAACATGAGAACAGGCATTTGCATGGCACTTTTGTAGCGGGCATTGCAAGGTATTTACATGCCAAATATGCTAAACATTCGTATGCCCCTTCATGCTTTGGGCACCATTCCAGAGGACATGCTTCCATGCTGATGACGCTTGTTTAAAAAATAATGTGTTAACTGAATTGTGACTGAACTCCATGGGGGAAAACTGTATGTTCCCTGCTGTTTTACCCGCATTCCGCCATACATTTCATGTTACAGCAGTCTTGGATGATGACCCAGGACATGTTGCTCATTTTAAGAACACTTTCACTGCAGATCTGACAAAATGCAAAGAAGATACCAAAATGAGATTTCTAAAGATAGCTACAGCACTTGACCCAAGGTTTAAGAATCTGAAGTGCCTTCTAAATTCTTAGAGGGATGAGTTGCGGAGCATGCTTTCAGAAGCTTTGTGCAGGGGGTTGGACTAAATGACCTCCTGAGGTCCCTTCCAACCCTGATATTCTATGAAGTCTTAAAAGAGAAATTCTCCAGACTCTGTAGTTTACACATCGAACCATCAAAATAGAAAATCACCTTCTAGTGGTGGCATCTGACTCATAATGAAAATGAACACACGTTGGACCGCACTGCTTTGGATTGTTATCAAGCAGAACCCATCATCAGCATGGACGCATGTTCTCTGGAATGGTGGTTGAAGCATGAAGGGACATATTAATCTTTAGCGCCTCTGGACGTAAATACCTTGCAATGCCGACTACAAAAGTGCCATGCAAATGCCTGTTCTCACTTTCTGGTGACATTGTAAACAAGAAGAGTGCAGCATTATCTCCTGTAAATGTAAACAAACTTGTTTGTCTGAGCGATTGGCTGAACAAGAAGTAGGACTGAGTGGACTTGTAGGCTCTAAAATTTTACATTGTTGCGAGCACTGTACACTTTGTATTCTGTGTTGTAATTGAAATAAATATATTTGAAAATGTAGAAAACATCCAAAAATATTTAAATAAAAGATATTATATTATTGTTTAATCACACGATTAATCACGGTTAATTTTTTTAATCGCTTCACAGTCCTACTAAAAATACTTCTTTTATAACTATACATCACAAGACACAGGCCATCCTAAACCAAAATCCAGTGTTGTTGTTGTTTTCCAGGAAGTGAAAGCAAATATGCACACAGGTAAAAACCCAACAGGTCTCACTCACGCATGTTAAATACACTCTTTAAATTTGGGATCGGTTTTAAGGCACCCTTACAGAATTCTACTTGTCTGCAGCCCTGGAGTACGAATGTTTGCTCCGGTGGGTTGTTTGACCAGACAAGTAATACCTATCCATATATTAACAGCAAAGAACCTAACAACCACTGAGGCAGCAGGCAACCGAGCAGATCTAGGCTTGGGCAGGACAGTCTGCAGAGCAATTTTGCCACCCTGCTCCCCCCGAGTTTGCAGAGCGGTTTTCGCCAAGCACAGCTCCGCAGCCGAGCAGCTCAGGCGCTCCTGGCTGCTGCTATCGGCCCCCCCCCCGCCCCCCGCGACCAGAGCCGGTCCCTTGCGCTCCTCTGCCTGCGCACCGCGCACAGCCCAACCTGCACAGGTGCCTGCGCAAGCCCAGGGCGGGCACCGCCAGCCCAGGCCCGCCAGCGCTCCGCCTGGGGCGGCACGGGCCGGGCCGGGCCGAGCGGGGGCGGGAATCCCAGCGGCGGGGGGGCCACGGGCGGCGAGCGGGAGCGGGACCGGTACCTCTCAGCGCCTGGTGCATCCCACCGATGCCGCTGTACAGCTCCAGCACGCGCACCGGCCCCATCCTCCCTCCCCACGCGCAGCACCTGGCTCTTACTGAGCCTGCGCGGGCGCTCTGCGCATCCTCAGTAACGTCTGCTGAAGTCAGTGCCCAGCCCCTCGCTCCCTCCGCTCTCACTTGCCCCCAGACTCTGCTCCCCGGGTGACAGGGAAGCGCGGGAAGGGCGGAGTCGGAGCCGGGTCACTCCGCTCCCAGGGTGGCAGGGGTGGGAGCTGACAGGAGGAGAGGCGCTGCCAGACGGGGAAGCTGGGGGTGGGGAGAGAGAACAGGAGCGGGGGCGAGCCATGGGCAGTGGCTGGCAAAGCAGGGGGTGGGTGGCAGCCTGGCTGCAGGTGTTCCTGGCTGGCTAGTCCATGCCAGCCCCCTCTCCCCACGGCTGCCGTGTTAAAGGCCCAGTGCTGCCCAGTTCCTGGGCTCCAGATCCTCACTAACTTCTGAGGCTCTGGGCTCTAGGAGACTGGATTCTGTGTAATGTGTGTGTGACTTACAAAGCTCCCACCCACCTGCAGTTCAAAATGTTCAGACCTGTTTTTTACTATTTGACTTGCATCCATGTTTTTAACCTTTCAAAGAATCCCTTTCCAGTTTTCCCAGCTGTAGCGTGTCTGGATGCAGCTTTATAGCATTGCACAAAATTGTCTTCTCATCCGACTGCCTGAACTGGACTTCCGTTTACTTGATCTGCTGTAACTGTAGCTTCCTTCCTTTCAGTTATTTATTTTTATTTTATTAAATGTTATTTTTATCTTGCATTGTTTTTAGCACTCTGTCATTTATCTTGGTTAATATTGTGCATATTCATGTCATTGTGCTATTTATGTTTTTAATAGCAAGCAATAATTTAAAATACTAATTGAGGCTAGCAGTTTAAGCAATCACATCTCAGTGTTTTGAAGTAATAGCACTTTGTTGTAATTGTAATTATGTAATTTATAATTTTTATTTCTACAGTTTTAATTTTTTCCTCTTGTACCACAAGTTTACTCTTTTTTAAGTTTCCTTTGATCCTCCAGGGCAGATTGCCTTTCTCAACTGATATTTTGGTCTATGTTTTTTCATGTAATCACTTGTGCATAGAATTTACTTCCCAAATATTTGCAAACGGCACTGAACTATCTTATATGAAATCCCTCCAAAGACAAAACTTCTACTGTAATTTTCACTGATCATAGATATTGGGGGGAGGGATAGCTCAGTGGTTTGAGTATTGGCCTGCTAAACCCAGGGTTGTGAGTTCAATCCTTGAGGGGGCCATTTGGGATCTGGGGCAAAAACTGGGGATTGGTCCTGCTTTGAGCAGGGGGTTGGACTAGATGACCTCCTGAGGTCCCTTCCAACCCTGATATTCTATGATTCTTTATAAATTATTCACAATGCTAAGAATTAAAAATAATCACATCATGCACCAGAAAGTTATGATATGATTCACTTCAGTGTTGGTTTTCATTCTGACAAGTTTACTGTTTGTTCTGCCAAAATCACTAAAGATTTTTTAACATAAAATATTTAGTTATTTCTTTGATCTGGTCTCACAAACTCTTTTATTACTGTATGATGGTATTTAAAACTATGTGTCTCACATTCCAGTGTGCAGTTCAGACCAGGGAGGGTTTGGGTCACTGCCTGTCCCATAACCCTGGGTGCCCTGCAATGCTCTTCTGTTGTAGCTCCCAACCTGGGTCACTCACAAACAGCCTACCAGCATGCAGGGCACACCCTGAGTGTCTGTGTATAGCTACAGCCCTGGCCCAGTGGCCTGTCAGCAACACACCAGTCACACTCTGGTTTCCATCAGCCTTGGTTATTACTTGCAGGGCGACCCCAACACACTCCCAGTCCCAAATTTTCCCCAAAATGTGTGCTCTGCACTTTCCAGCCCTCTCCTTGACAGTTCAAATATTTGAGGTCCGTTGCTTCTGTAAGGGGTCAATATTCAATAGTTTGCTACTTTAACTGGAGTTACCAAACAGTGCAGTTTAAAGACAGTACTGGATTAGTTTTGGTTAAAACATAAGTTTAACTACAAAGAGATTTTAAGTGAGTACAAGCAGAAGGCATTAAAGTCAGAAATAGTTACAAGAGAAGTAAAGATAAAACACTTCCTAATACCAAGAATTTAACGAGCTAGACTTGTTAAGGTAAAATCCTTACCACAGGTTTTCAACAACATTGCTGACCAAATTCTCAGGTCAGGATCTCCCCTCACAGTCAAAAGGCTAGTTCCTTTGTCTTCTTAGGTGAAAGGGAGAGGTAGTGAGATACCTTGGAGTGTTTTTGCCCTTTGCTTTTATAGTCCAGTCACCCTTTGAAGTGGATTCTTCTGAGGATTACTCCTCAAAGTAAAGTTTATTCAAAAAGTAAAGAAGCTGTCATAGAATGTAGTGGTGTTGGTGGCTCCATGCTCTTTCTTCTCCCCTGGGTATACTGAAATGCAGATTTGCCTTGTTTCCTGCCATTTCCCTCTCATGCTGTTTCAAGGACGCTGTTTACTATTTATATGTAAATTGAGGTAAATACACATTCCTTTATTTAGGATAGGCCTGCTAAACAACTTTGGCTGAGGCAGGGCTTTGTGGGTTTGAACACATGCTAACAACTACATACAGGGGGAGTTCATAACTTTACATATAATGTTGCTATGTACATTTCACCATGATATTATTGACCAAAAACTTACTAGTTTTCCGATAATACCTCACAAGGCTTATTTTCTACAAAGATTATTACAATAGTGTGTATACAGGGGTGCTTTCAGCCATAATGTGTATATATTAATTTTAATAAATCAATTAGGTGTACTTTATCACATGTCTGCTATATGGAACATTCTTGTCTCAGGCTGACTGCCCCCTTCAAAGGGAGAGGGGCCGAGCACCTGCTGTGACTAATCAGCTGTCTCTATGCCAAGTTCTTTTATTAAAACTCTTCATACACTTTACATCATAACAGCATCAGGCAATACACATATATTAAGTCATTTAGAACAGGGCCAAACCATCTTATAGTATCCATAGTCACTTTAGCTACCTCCTGGGCTTCCATATCCTTTGCCCAGCTAAGTGGAGAAACCTATTGCTCAAAGTTAGATGAGAAGAAGGAGCATAAGGAAGGACAGAGGCTACAAGGGAAGGAAGGTCTATCTGAGCCAGGTCAAAGTCCTGTGAGACAGATGCCATCTCACCCACTGTCCTACTATCAGCAGGCATGAGACATGGAGAGAGCGCCATTCCTCTCCCCTCACCCCCCACCTCTCCTATGAAAGGATATGAGTCTTTAAGAACCCTTGCACTCAAATGCAACAACCACCTCAGAGGCTGCCAACCTTTTTCCCTTCCCTCTTATCCTTTGCCAACTGTGGTATCCCCTGAGACCTCTCCACTCCTATTCCAAAGTCACCCTTATGCCCTAGCTTCCTCACTCTGCTGTTGTGGATACTGCAGTTGTGATGTTTTCTGCATCTTCCTTCACCTAACCTCTAACACCTTTGTCCATGTGCTACTATTGCCCATCTCTGGAAGGGGAGCATCTTCCACATGTTCTTTCCCAATTCCTCTAACAGCAACAGGGATTGTGCTATTACTGTTCCCCTGTCCCTCATTCTCAAATACCACATTGCGCCATCCCCATCTCTCCATTACCCCTCTACCAGCACCCTCCCCACCTAAATGTGCTTTCTTGGCATATGCCTCCTCCCTGTACCCCCAATTTCCACACTGTGCATGTCTGGTGTAATGTAGACACAGGCCTGCTAAGTGACCAAACTGCCCACAGGGGCAGCATTGTACCAGACGGCAACACACAGAAGCCCCACACATGATAGGTGTAAGGCTGTCCAACATAACTAACTTCCGCTACCATGAAACAGCTGGGCAACTGCAAAATCTGATGGTTGTACAAGGATCTTGACAAGAGCACCACGAGCATGCATTCTAACTACCTTCAACGGGTAGTTATCAATGGCTCCATGTCTAGTTGGCAGCCGGTATCAAGTGGAGTGCCCCAAGGGTCGGTCCTGGGGCCGGTTTTGTTCAATATCTTCATAAATGATCTGGAGGATGGTGTGGATTGCACTCTCAGCAAATTTGCGGATGATACTAAACTGGGAGGAGTGGTAGATACGCTGGAGGGGAGGGATAGGATACAGAAGGACCTAGACAAATTGGAGGATTGGGCCAAAAGAAATCTGATGAGGTTCAATAAGGATAAGTGCAGGGTCCTGCACTTAGGACGGAAGAACCCAATGCACAGCTACAGACTAGGGACCGAATGGCTAGGCAGCAGTCCTGCGGAAAAGGACCTAGGGGTGACAGTGGACGAGAAGCTGGATATGAGTCAGCAGTGTGCCCTTGTTGCCAAGAAGGCCAATGGCATTTTGGGATGTATAAGTAGGGGCATAGCGAGCAGATCGAGGGACGTGATCGTTCCCCTCTATTCGACATTGGTGAGGCCTCATCTGGAGTACTGTGTCCAGTTTTGGGCCCCACACTTCAAGAAGGATGTGGATAAATTGGAGAGAGTCCAGCGAAGGGCAACAAAAATGATTAGGGGACTGGAACACATGACTTATGAGGAGAGGCTGAGGGAGCTGGGATTGTTTAGCCTGCAGAAGAGAAGAATGAGGGGGGATTTGATAGCTGCTTTCAACTACCTGAAAGGGGGTTCCAAAGAGGATGGCTCTAGACTGTTCTCAATGGTAGCAGATGACAGAACGAGGAGTAATGGTCTCAAGCTGCAGTGGGGGAGGTTTAGATTGGATATTAGGAAAAACTTTTTCACTAAGAGGGTGGTGAAACACTGGAATGCGTTACCTAGGGAGGTGGTAGAATCTCCTTCCTTAGAGGTTTTTAAGGTCAGGCTTGACAAAGCCCTGGCTGGGATGATTTAACTGGGAATTGGTCCTGCTTCGAGCAGGGGTTGGACTAGATGACCTTCTGGGGTCCCTTCCAACCCTTATATTCTATGATTCTATGATTCTATGATTCATTCCTACATCCAAATCCCCAGTCAACTCAGGATTTTCTCACCTTAGCCAACACAATTGCCTGTCTGCTTAGCTAATCCACAATCAGCTC